TTTATTCGTATTTTAAATTTTTTGAGATGGTTAAATCTTTACACTTCCAATATTTTAATAAATCATTTTTAAAAAAAAAACCTAAACAGATTTTCTCACTGAAAAAAAGGAAATAAAATTCATTGTAATTTTCACTTGCTCGCAAATTTAAAAAAAAGAAAAAAAAAGGGATTGCCATCCCTACTTTGGGAACCACTGACGTAGTAGAAGGCTGAACACAAAGAAATGAACACATCATTAAAGATTTATGAAAAAAAGGCTTTGGCCCAGAGTCAATGTCTCATTGGTCATTGGTGTGGAACCCTAGGGTTCACCTGCTGGACAAGTTCAAATCCTGGTCAGGGCAGTTGGTACTTTTCAGTGGACTCACCATCTGCAGGAAGGTTCAGGAGTGTGTGATTTGGGTGGTGGTCATGGAGACTGCTGCCCCCACGACCTGGTAACGGATAAGGATGGATGGATGGATGGATGGATTTATGAGCGTGTGAGGCATTGCGTCCCTGGGATGAAGCGTCTGTTACTTGTTGTTCGTGTTATGGTGTGAGGTGAACAGACGTGTGAGGTGACATGGTGTTCTCACTGAATCAGTCTAAGTGCTCACCTGTGGAACATACAGAGAAACGTCACCTCAGAGGGAGCTGGGCTAATAGCTCTACTGCTGACAAAAACCTCATACACCAGGTGCCAACAGTGATGAACGACCTGCTGCTGTTAACACAGTCATCACGATGCACTGGAAGAAATAAGAAATTGATTCAAGGGTTTCCTTGTAAGTGAGTAACCTCATTGGCTGAATGATTGAGTAACTGTATAATTACCAGTGCTCAGTAAGTGGTCTGAAGAACTGAAAAATGTCCCTGGGGACAAAACATCATTTCTCTAACCCTGTGTAAAAAGACAAATGACTTTTTCCTATGAAGGGTTTATATTTCTGAAGTGAGTTCACAAAAAAAGACGCAAAAAGTGCAATGGTATTTTCTAAGGTTGATGAGTTTGTTGAAAGTTTGTTGAAACTTCACCTGTCTTTGGATGGTTGTGGTCAATTCTCTCTGTCTCAGTCACAGACTTATGGTCTGGTATAGACTGTGAGGCCTGTTGCGAACACCTTAAAAAGGAAAAGAAAATATACAGTAAATAAAGGCTGATTCGCTTGTGGTGGTGATGGATAAAATAAAAGTCATGTGTGATCTACAGCTTAAACAACAAAGACAGCTCTTCTCTTTACTGTTCCACAGGCAGTTGGTCATAGACCTGGATCATTTTGAATGGGCGTGTCTGTAAATGTGACCCTGTAAAGCTTTATTGTGACAGGGTAGACATCTTTGTTATCTGTGGTCATGCAGAAAATGTGCACAATTTTAACCTAGGTTTATTGGATCAGAACATGAAAGTAAATATGAAGCCTGCACACTGTTTACTGGTTCAGTCTCTGGTCTTTCTGTTTGGAGTTTCCATGGTCTACGTATCTGTGTCTGCGGGTTTTCTTTGGGTCATGCAGACTGAGGATTTGGTTCATTAATATGTGTCCTATATGTGATGGGTTGGTTTACTGCAGAGATTGGCTCGGTGTCCCCCCCAGAGACCCTAAAAAGGACTAATAGGTAGAAGTTGAATGAATGAATTAAACATGTACACTTTGTCTATGCTGTCTAACTACTTTTCTTCAACGTAAAGCTTGTAAATATTTTAGCCTCTTGCACCAGCATTAGAAAACGTACATGTACCCTGAAGGGACCCAAGAGCTAATGGTCTACTGCCACCTGATATATTAAATATGTGTCGGTCGTAAAAACACAGTAGATAGAAATAGTCCAAAAAAAAGTCAATAGTCAAAGTCATTTTAAAACACATTTGTTAAATTCCCAATAAAATAGAGCCATATCAGAAACCCTACATTATGTTCATCATCATCATCTCACTTTTTCACATATTTCTGTTTCCTGTCAAAGCTCAACTAATCAGCTCAGCTGGTTTCTGTCAGTGCAGTAATCAGAAATTATATGACGTACGTATGTGGTTGGATGTTGCGTATTTTCTCTTCCTGTATATCTTTTAGAAGTGTTTGTGACATTTTCAATGGAAATATTTGTTTGCAGAAAATCCAACCAATAACACCTAATATAAATGATCTGATGATGATTTCAACATATAGGTCCCTGTGTGAACGTTAGGATGCCAGAGTGAGCTTGTTAATATTCAGTCCACTGTGTGAGTCGTCCATTAACTCAATGTTTCCTGTTACATTATAAGTTATGGCCTGTGGTAGAGGGCAGTATAGCTAATGAATATTACATGTAACAGATCAAATGACTTGGTGTAACACAGAGCCAACAAACAACTAATGAAAAGAAACATTCTTTCTTAACATCGTTTCTTAACATAGCCTGTCAGTGGTTTGAGCCATATTTACTCAGATAAGAAAAGGCAGTATTTTTACTGAATAATCTATCATTTCAAAGCAACAATTTCTAAGCATGATAGATTGATCAGTAATCTCTACATTTTACCTGCTCCATTGCTGGTCCTCATCGCTGCACTGCTGATGACAGCATTAGTATACTGTATATCCAGAGTTGTATTTTTAAATAAGGTAACGGGCATTTGTTGAGTTGACTTTGGAAGAATGAGGAGTGTTCGCCCAAATGTGGAATGCTTTTTTTGGGAACGGTAGTCAAACTGAGGAAGAGACTGAGTGATATTTCCACTGGTTTTCATGTTCTGAGTTGAAATGGCTCTACATGTGTGATACCATGTTATTACTGAGCTACGACAATGCCAAAGCTAAGAAATATAAGACACAGAAGTCACACACATCACTGCGTGTTGACAAGTCTTAAACCGGAGCTGCCCTTCACAGACGGGAAGCCTCTGGAGTGGGTTAGATGTAGTGACGTGGTCATCCAACCTCTGACTTCCCTATTAAGAATTCTACACTGGACCAGGAATGTCTAATTACTAGCACCGTGAAGAAACATTAGTATGTTTTTATGCACACGGTCATATACATTTTTTCTTCTTTACCCCTTTGTTTTCACTATGACATGAGAGGCTGACGTCAGTATCAGCAGGTACTCCAAGTCGCAGTGGCGGTATCGGTATCGAACTTGAAAATATTGTACGGAGCCATCCGTAACGTAAACTCTTTTCCTCTTCACAGTGGTCACACCAATCTGACATCAGACCAGACCAATGCTGCAGCAGAGGAAACCTGAGGAAGTGTGTGCTGGGAGTGTGTGTAATTATGCCTGAAATCATTTCTGGGAATGTAAGTGTGTGTTTGTAAAGGTGTAAAGGTGGCTGCCATGTTGGAGGACGATATGATCAACTGCACCATCAGCCATGAAATCCACCAGTACGTCTTCTCCTGCGTCTACATCTTTGTGTTGGTGGTGAGTGTTGTTATGTTCACTGACACAACAACTACAGTAGTAGTAATTTGGGATGTCAAAGTGGGGTCACAAGCCAAAAAAGGTTGGGAACCTCTGCTTTAAACTGTCGAGGACCTGGCTTTCATCCAGTGTCATCCGTATTGGTTCTTCCTAACAGAATAAACATTTGATGAAATATTTATGGTTACAATGACTCGGCTCAGCCTCTGAGAGTCTTCGCCATAAACACAACTGAAAAATAAACCACGTTTGTTGATAATCATTTAACTTGTACTTGAACTCTACGACACTGTGTTTACTTCAATGTGCAAAGGAAATCTTTCTTTCTGTTGTACTTTGTTTAATCATTAGCTGAATACACTTTACTGAAGAAAACTCCGAAATCCTATTCTTCCCTCTAGGTCGGTGTTCCGTCCAACCTGTATTCTCTGTACCATGCTGCTGGTCAGCTGAAACAGAAGAACGAGCTGGGGGTGTATTTACTGAACCTCACCGTATCTGATCTGTTATACCTCACATCATTACCACTGTGGCTACAGTATATCTTTCAGGTAACCTACCTCTCTCTCTCTCTCTCTCTATCGAATTTGCAAATGAAGCAGAAGGAAGTGACACCTTTCTGAAATGTTTATTTCAGAAAGGTGTCACTTTCTGTTTGGTTTTGTTTGTTTGAAATGAAGCACTAGCAAAGACAGTTTGAGAAACCTGTTGCACACAATACTGCAACAGAAAAGTACGCAATAATTATTGCTTAATGTTAAAATTGAAACTACAGGGATTGCAGAAAGTACTGTATACACTGTTGAAATATTTTGGTCCGATTGTGAAAATAAAATTGATCCCTCCATGATTTATTTTTTTTAAATAACCAATGACACCAGATAAAATGAAGGTGTGGATTTTTGTGCTGACAGTGCAAACAATCTGTGGAAATCTGGTGTATAAAATAGCACAATTCTAAAAAAGGATTTGTTTCAATGAGGCCTTTGATGTAGTTGCTTAAAAACTCTGTTGTACTGTGTTCCAGAAGTTAGTCATGTTTACAGTTACGTTACTTCTGTAGTCCACACATTACAGCAACTCATTGTTGTACCATGGACGTTGGAAGTAGGACTAATAGGATCAAAAACACAATTCCAACCTGGAACTTTGTACCGAAAAGTTGGTATAAAATCATCAGAGACACTTTTATCTCCAGGTACTTTTGTCATATTAATGCTGAGTTTGTGTTTCAGGGGGATGATTGGCAACACAGGGAGTGGTTGTGTCAGCTGTGTGGTTTCCTTCTCTATGAGAACATTTACATCAGCATCGGTTTCTTGTGCTGCATCAGTCTGGATCGCTACTTAGCTGTGGTTCATCCTTTGAGGTATTTTATGAAACTGCAGGCCAGAACTTTACAATATTTTGTAATTCTTTGTACTTTAACGTTTCCAACATGCAGCTCTGGACTCTGGACAAAAAGAAAAAGAAGCAAAACTAAGAAATGTGATTGTTTTTTTGGTTAAATTAATGATATAGTTAAATAGTTGATCTGTGTTTATTACCCACCTGTAATTTCTCCCAAAGTCAGCATTAGGCTGTGTGACAGTCATTATAGTAGTAGAAACGTTATCGTAACATCCTACAGCAGATCTGAAGGGATAAACACTGACTCTAGAAAACGTCGATGTTACCGATGTAACTACTTTTCTGCCTATGTCTAAAAGTCAGTAAGTCACTTCCAAAAAAACATTTTTTTCATTTTTTTTCACATCCTCAGGTTTGCGCCTCTCCGCTCTATGAAGGCAGCCTGGTTCTTTAGCGCCATCATCTGGCTGAAGGAGATTGCAGTGGGCGTGGTCTTCTTCCGCCACAAAGAACTGAGCAAAGATCGCACTAACCAATCGGTGTGCTTTGAGCACTATCCCATGAAGCCGTGGGAGTATCCTATCAACTACTACCGCTTCACTGTTGGCTTCATCTTCCCTCTGGCCATTCTCTCGGTACACTCACTCTCTTATAGAGGATAACTTTCTCACATTATTTACAGCTTCATCTTATTTCATCCTGTGAGTCTGGCCCCGAAGCCATCATGAGCATTTATTTGACCAGTTTTTATTCAGATTAGCTGTATACAAAATGGACGGTGTGAAGTGGAACCTGGACATAATATAAATGTATCTGATGAAATTACTGCAATTAGTAGTAGAGCAGAAAACATTTTACTCTCATCTGCACTCCACTGACAAAGGTTGCCTTTTTTAATCAGCTCACATCAGGAGGATGCTCAGAGGAAAGGAAGCCAGTTTGATTCTATCTGAAGTGACTAATGATTCCTCTGTCCTGAACCAGATCAGTTACCTGTGTGTCCTGCGTGCCGTGGGTCGGAGTGCAGGGACACAGCCGCCCCAGAAGATCAGGATCAGGCAGTTGGTCAGCAGCACCATCCTCATCTTCCTCGTGTGTTTCTCCCCCTACCACGTGTTTCTGTTAGTACGCACCATACTCGAGCGAGACTGCAGCTTTATTGGAAGTATGTGTTCATCTCTGGAGACAAGTCTGTGTTTTAAAAAAAAACAAAAAACTATATGATCCGTTTGATTTGTTTATGTGTTTTTGTAGGAATATTTAACTACTACCACCTGTCGTTGCTGCTGACCACCCTGAACTGTGTGGCCGATCCTGCCCTTTACTGCTTTGTCAGCGAAAGTGCTCGCCACGGCTTTTACAGGGCCCTCATCCGTCCCTTCACCAGGATCCTCTGCTGTTTACGCCGTGGAAACACAAGTCCCTCCAATCCACCCACTGACTCTAATGAGGTTGCAACTGACGTGAACAACGGCCAACCGACAGTGTTGCTGCTTACACACACCAGCACGTGCAACAGCATGAACAAAGAGCCCGTTTGCAAAAACACAAATTTAATCATAGCTGCAGGCAGTGATGAGACGCTGTAGTACTCTGTACTGGAGTGCCAACAATCTGTGATGTTCAAGTTGGTGTTTGACTCGGTGACATATTTAAGACATATCATGTAATTGTGTTAGGGATTGGCCTAGTATTAACGTCATACTCGGTTTGTTTAAGACCTGAACTTCAATAATAGGTTGATTCATCGATTTATACGATTCAGGTTTTGATGGTTTAACACCAATATTCTTATTCTGTTGAGGCTGCAGTGATTTAGAGCCCATTCCAGTAAAGAATGGTCAACTTCCTGTAGGACAGACGTCATGGATTAAGGGCTTGGAACCACGTCATTATGATTCTAGATGTCGCTATTGAGCCATTTTGCCTCATCTACTACTTAATCTACATGTAGCTAAAAGTTTGGCTTCTTTTCTTTGGCGTGCAAATCGTTTGTTTTTGTCGGTGAACTCTGGAGTGTTACCATGAAGATGACATTACCTCATTACCATACACAAGGGACATGTGAAACAATGTATTCTGGTCATCTTTGAAAAAGGATACCGTTATTCCTCCAAGAGTGTGCATTAACTGGCAAAACAGGTCACTTCCTGTTGCCACCATGAGGCACCCTTTTTAACGCTCTTTAATGTGAAATACTAACACAGTACTAACAAGTATTAGACATACATATTTTAATATAGATTGGACCTAAACTTCATACTCATATATTTTGTACATCGTTTGTATGTGAAGGTAAGTATTTTGGTAATTTTGTCTGTTTTTGGTTGGTTGTTTGAGCCCAGGTCAGTGAAATCAGCAGGGTATGTATAATGTGTGATGTTTAGGTGTCTGTTCTGTCTGTTCTGTCTCATCTTGTTTCAGTCTGCCTCAGTGATGGTGTTTGTTTATATGTTGTCAGTTGCATGAAGAGAAATTGTTATAGTCCTCTCAATAATAAACACCCAAAGTCTCCCGACGGGTTGTACCATGGATGGGCTGATCATAAAAGCAGATGGATCCATGTCTGATTTTGGAAACTGTCTTCATTGTACAGCACACAGTACAAACCTGGAGACAACCAGTAAGATGGAGGGAGGCCTGGGTTACATCTTGGCTGCAGACGTGGATCTGGATCAGAGTTGACAAAGTACTGAGAAGTTGGATCCTGGTTAAAGAGTAAACACACGCCAAACAAATAATGTCTTTAGTTAGCATTTTTTAATTAATTTCCCAAGGGCAAAAAATAAATAAATACAAAACACAATCTTCTTCCATTTCAAGTGAAGTCTAAACTATTAATTTAGCTAAAAGCTGAAATCACTAAGAGAAAAATTCGCAAATAGTAAAGAACCAATATCACAAGTCACCTTTCTGTCTCAGCCGTTCATCCGGACCAGGTAAAGCCGCTGTTTAGGAATAGCTTTTTCAGCGTTTGACGTCACACGCCGAGACCGTTCCGAAGTTTTATTTTTCCTTTCCCTGCTCTGCTTTATCTTTTATCGTGCATTGTGTTGACGAAACATATTCACCAATGAATCCATTTGAATCTTTTTTACGGCCGAAAACTAAATAAAAGTCCGCATGATGACGAATTATAAAGAACACGTTGGTAAACCAATCAGAAGGAGACGAAAATCTTAGGGCGGGGCGAATAGAAAAGATCCAATCAGAAGGAATGTCATTGTGAAGGTAGGCCGATCACCTCAGAAGCAGAGACAAAGGTACAACGCATGAAGTTTCAAAACTAGCTTCATTCATTAGCATCGATTTCCTGCAATTCATGTAATCCAAGTGCGAAGGTATGTTTCATGAAAAACACAGAAATGTCACAGAACTGACATCTGGTCACACTTTAACTAGGACCACAGAACCCTGTTCAAACCGTGTGAGCTAAAAGCGCGCTGACACTGATTGACACTTGTTTTAATCATTAACAGAGGGATATTTAATTTCTGGTGCAATGTCATTGCAACCAAAACATGTTTTATTTGACCTACTTGAGATTTGTGTTTGTTTTCAAACCCTTAATTTCCTGAAGGGAACTCCCAAGGGATTCATGAAGTTCTATCTATCTATTTACCTGTATTTTCAGTGTTGGTCGAGCCATGGTTTTGTTGGTTTACTAGAACATTGAGTGTTTTTATTTTAATAGACTTATTGATTTTGTACAGACAGAAGAACAAAACAATGACAGGAGATACATTTAGTCGACAACGTTTAAAACATATTTGCCTGACTATATATAGGAGGCATGGCAGCCCTAGTTTTCAGACATGGAGCCTTCATAGATCACTTTGAGTAACCTGGTGATGATGTTATTGTCGTCGGGGGTAAAGGTCAAAGCACCTGCCACTGAGTTACCAGATTTGCCATTTTGTAATCCCGACTGCATCAGTGTGGATCTGAGAAGTTGTTCCTGAAAGTCAGAAGAGAAAAGTCAGAAGAACAAATGTCATTCTTTACCTTTTAACCAGTGTGTGTCTGTGTTTATATGTGGTTACTGTTCACACTGTCCGGGAATGTATTGATGTATCTATATAAATATAAATATATATAAATATATCTCTTATCTAAAAAATACAAAAAGACTAACAAATTAGTGATTCAACATGTGAAAAAAAAACCCCTCAAACTCTCCAAACAAACTTGGGCAAAAGACTGAATTGCATGCAATATTAAAAGATATTTTATGTAAACTATAATACTATCTTTATTGTAAGATTAAATGTATTTACAATAATGAATCATTATATAAATCATTCCTGCAGTTAATGTAACCTTCTCCACTGACGGCAGGTTGTCAGTCCAGTCCTGCAGTTGTTCCTGTGATGTTGTGGTTTCTTTGCCCAGGCCTCTCTTCAGGTACCTCTGGTGTGAGGGGCAGGTGTTTAGAAGGAAGAGCCCACAGGCCACAGCATATCCACCCCAGTTAGACACTCCTGGAGAAGAAGCAGGTATGATGATGAGAGATGTAGAAGATATGAGCTTTCTGCTAATATAAAATTACAATGCCTCAGGGCACAAATCCCCCAGTCAGTACTTTAGTGACACCTCCAATGAAAGGCTTTCGGGTCAGAGTTGGTATTGCCATCACGGTTCAGTATATTGGAAATGTGGAGTCACTATATATCTATGTATATGTATGTATATATGATATATATGTATATTATATATGTATGTATATATGTGTATGTATGTATATGTATATATATCTATGTATATATGTATATGTATGTATATATTATATATATGTATATATATATATTAATATATATGTATATATATTATATATATATATATATATATATGATATATGTATATATTTAACTATTGCACACACCTACCTGTAGTGGTAATTCCAGAGATATCCTGTGCAGTAATAAAGAGCTCCTCGACAGGACCTACTTGATGTTTGACGTTTTCCTCTCTAACGTTAGCCCTATCAGTAGCAGTTCCTCTACACTCTACTGCCACGATGTGGTCATACCTGGGTTTGACCAAAGCAAACATGAATTGGAAACTAAGTTAAAGATAGACCACCCTCACGTGACACTCCCACTATGCTGTGGTTGTTTTGTCACTACATTGGACATTTCTTAATGACGTAAAATTACATTTTAAATTACATTGACTGCTGCTGCTGATCATTCAAATAAACCGGTGTATGGTTGTGATATATTTCTTACATTTTCAGTTAGGAGGTTTAACATTCTTTCATATCACAGATCAGCTTACCTTGGTTTGCTGGTGTCTCCATGGTGACATAAGAGGTCTAGGGCAGCATTTGGACTGCTGTCTTCAACAGTGAGCAGTGGTGTAGCAGTATTTAGCACACCTGAAGGTGAAGTTGGCCATGAATAAAAGCAACAAGGGAGTAAACAATGCTATGGGCTGTGTCATGAAAACATTTGAATGGCCTGAGTGAATGAAGTTCAGTTCAGGTCCCTTATCCTACCCATGTTCACAGCTTCGTCAACAATGGCCTTCGTCATCTCGAGGAATCTGCTGTCTGTTATCAAGGTGACCGTCTTCCCTAGAGACAACAGCATGTTTGCTATGGCGATGGCCCCAGGTATCCATCCATCGATCTGATCAGGTGAGCTAAGAGTGAAACAACCAGAAATTATAAACAACAAACATTAAATGATAAATAAAAACATATTTAACACTTCTGATCACAGAGCTGCAACCTGTATTAATCAAAGTGATGTTTATGAGATGAAAGCGTAACGTAAAATGTTTTTTTTAATTTTTTTACAACTTGCATATGTTTATATCATCTATTAGCATGAATCAGATATTTAAGGAATAAATTCAGGACTGAACTTATAGATATATCCCAAATATGTCCCATTCACCCCCCGTACCCAGGACTTCATCTCTCAGTCAATATTACTCTTATAATCCACGTTGGAAATAGACAAGCACCAGGTACAGTACCTGTGCAGGTGGTGAGTGGAAACGCCTGTGGTTACAGCAACAGAACGTGAGTGTGAGAGAGCCAGACAGGAGTGTAGGAGATCCTTCTGACTGAACAAATCTTTAGTTCCTTCTTCACCTGCTGACACAGGGTAAAAACCCGTCACTGTTAAGTTTGACTAAAACTCTATGGAGAGAACCAAAACAAGCTTTAGTCTGGAACATAAAATGGAAGCATTTGCTTTTTAGAACAGTGATTCCAGCCACTGTGCTTCCAATGTCGAATATCTGTCCTGGAACAGAAACCTTTAAATGACTAGTGTCAAAAAAATGACAGAAAAAAACACTGTCATTTATGTGCATTTACCTGGGTCCTCTCCAATAATCATTTCCAAATGTCTGATTTTTGCCACTGCCCTCCGAGATACCAAGCTGTACAGTAAGGGATTGTGGGACACCAAGAAGCTGAGTGGGGTCAGCTCAGGGTTTAGTTGGTTGTTTGGAGGGTTATCACTGTTGGGAGTGGGGGTTATGATGGAAGTAGAGGAGTCTGGGATATCAGTCAGGAACATACATCCTGGTGAATGACTGAACGCCAGTGGAACCTCTGAAACAAAGTAACATGATGATCAGTTAAGGGTTGTCAATAGCTATTAATAACCACAGGTCCAGTCAAAGATATTGCTCACTGCTGCTAAGTATTGCCTGGATTGCAGTCACTCCACAGGCCCAGAAGACTGGGACGTCACCAGGCTGCAGCTCCACTGGATCCCCATAGTCTGGTCTGGACAGATCCGGGATTCCTAGCAGAGCTACTCACACACACAAAGTGCACTTTGGGACATTTAGAACATTAAACCTTCAGCATAACAAAATAATGACAAATGATAACCACAGACTGGGGTCAAAGCTGTTTAGTCAAAATGACCTGGTCTTGGTGGTAATGTGGAATTATAGATTCTGAAAAGGTCACTGGTTATAATAGAAATACTTTGGAAATGTTTACAAAATTAGATTTTTAACAGACTCACCTGGTTCTCCAATGTGTACAGGAGCTCCGTGTGCCAGTGGATTAAGGTGAGTCACTTCCACTGCTACATTCAGCAGAGCAGCTGGAATAGGTCTCATGGTGACCACTAGAGGGCAGCTGAACACTCCCACAGGGACACACGGAACTGTGGACTGCAGACATACTGTGTGAATGTGTTTCAACTCGCCCTGTTTTGGGATTTCATTTGTTTTTGTTTTGCACTGGCTTCAGTCAGATAACCCAGATTAGTGTGGATTCTGCTGCCCACATGTATGCCACTTATACTGTACTTTACATGGTTGAAGAGTTCTGTTAGGCAACTGGACATGAAAGTTTCTCAAAGAAGACGTTTCACCTCTCATTCAAGAGGCATCTTCAGTTCTAACTGGTGGTGAGGATCACAGCAGATATATACTCTGGGTGTGACAGAGAATAAAGCTACTTGAGCTCCCCCTGTTGGGTCGGGCATACGGGGTCAACTGGGAAAGTGTAAACAGTCATTAAGAGACTGATGGGTCGTTGCCATCCTCATCAGAACGGTTTCGATCACATGCCTATTTGTTGTGTGAAACTGAGGAGAATCTTTTGGGTATTGTTGTTAAGAGTGCCTTGTATGTGGGTGATAGGTTGTGTCTGAGTCCACCTCCTCTGTTGAGTGATGGTTTTTCCAGTTTGACAAAAATGGCTTACCTCTCTCTCAAACCATTTGTCTTCCCTGGCCAAAATGTGAACATTGTTGTCCTCAAAGGAGTGTGTTTTCTCCTTGAGGCGTATGTGAACAGCTGAGTCCTGTCCTGAGGAGTTGGCCCTCCTGTGTTGCGCCATGCGCCTGTGTAGTGGTTCTTTACACGTTGTAGTGCTCTGTTGTTGTTCAAAATGTTGTTGTTCAAAATGCCAATATGTCCTCTTTACGTTTACTGCACTCTGCAGGGGTTATTACTGACATGTGACCAGTGTACCAGGTTGAAAATCACCTGAACAAGTCTTGTTTACCGAAGGTCTACGGAGAAGTGATTAGTAAAAATGACTGGATGCGTAGCTGTAAATGTGTATACATTTGATGCAGGTGATATTTATGCCACACCTTGTACATGCTGACGTTCTTCCCCTGCTCCACATTCCTGACAGGAACTCCTGCATCTTTCAGTTTGCTTTCAAAGCCAAAACTGCAGCCCAGATATAAACACACCATGTCTGACAGCTGCTGGCTCAGACTGTCAGAGGCTGCCACAGGCTGCTGTTCTGACGATGAAGTCCTTGAAGAACAAGAAAGACAAGTAGACTTTCATGGTTCTTAAAATACATAAGCATATATCCAGGCCACGCTCCTATAAATTACCTTAATTCACAGGTTAAACTCATTAGACTTGACAAAGTTCTGACCACATGACCAGCCTCGTACACGCAGTACTTAGAAATATCTGTCCTGCAGGAGGAAAGGAAAGAAAACACAAAGTGTTTCAGGACAACATTAAAGAGGAGTTGTATGTTCTTATTTCATTGTCTGCACCGCACTCCAACATATTGGTTAGACTCTGAAAGTTTAAACAACAATCCTAACTATTGACTGGTCTGGACTTTAAATGTAATAAAAAAATAATTATGATTGTCCAAATGCATTTTATCCTGTTAATGATGAGTTGTGGTTTTCAGCTTAAGAACAAACATTAACTGTATTACTATATGGACTAGTCACTACTGTTACAGAAGTTAAGTACTACAGTATGTACTTTCATGAATACCTTATGTCAACATTCCCAGCCAGAGGTGGACATGAGGACTCCCCTTGTTGGCTGCGATAGAGAAAGGTCAAGGGACCAGGATTATTGTGGCAGAACGCCTCAAAGTCATCAGCATGTTGATTTGGTAGGAAGATCACACCAGCCTGTTGGTATCCTGACATTTGTATTTTGAGGTGGTGAAAACATTCACATAATGAAGACAGAATTTTTATACGGGTCAGTTTCATAAAAGATGTTCAAAAGAATGAAATAGTTACATTTACAAACAATGGAGATTATAAAGAGGAGGTTTGCCAGTGTTAACAGTTAAACAGGTCAGGTAAAAAAAGGATTTACGTTAAGTGAAGTCAAGAAAGACATGCATTTTTCAGGAACTAGTGTGGATGGAGTGTTGACGGCAGCTGCCGCATGTAACTAATAAAAATAAGTTACTTTTTAAAGGAGTAGTCAGTAATCACATTACCTTTTCAAGGTAACGTTAGCAACACTGGTTGTTTACATATTCAGAAATGACGCTGTAATTATTGACTTATTTTATAAAGTCGAGCTAATTTAACAAAGTAAGTTTATATGTCAGACATAATCTAGGTCAAAAACAAACCAAAATTCATGGACACTAACAGTTATATGCTTTTTTCTTGCATTATTGATATTTTTTAGCCGCTCAAAGAAAAACGGCCGCTGAGTTTCGTTGTAACCTGTGTACAATGACCGTGAAGTTCTTCTTACCTTTAGCCAGTCCCGATGTTATGGTGATCCTGGGATCGTTCTGTCTCATTAACAGTCTCAGCTCAGCAGGACTGAGACGTTTTAAAGAACCTGCGGAGTCCATCCGTAAACTGGACAGAGAACCAGAGACTACTGACGGTCACTTTGAAGGCGATGCCCCGGAGCTCGTGTCGGACCAAACAACGTAGTGCTTCAGAAAGCACCGTGTCGAGGCTTTCTTCGTTTGACCTGTGTCACGTGAACCATGACGTAAGATATTGGCACACAAATCTGTACTTTCTTGATTACATTCTTGATTAAAAGCGCTCGAATCCACGCTAGCATCTAAAGGATCGTCATTCGACATTTGCAAAGTTTTTTTCCCCCAGAAAGTCATGTTTAAAATGAATTCTACTTATTGATCCCAAAATATACACCGACAAGAACAAATGTTTACTTCAGTAGACCCAAACTTGTTCTTTTTTAATATATATATTAAATATTGTATACATATAGGTATATACATATATACCTATATAATAACATGTTTGACTTACAATTCTGTCCCTGTCTGTTCTTGTTTGCTCAGCCCTGTTTATCTGGAGGCAGATGAAGCTGCGTACTCTCCTGGATGAGTCCGATGGACCTGGTGCTGTTCATATTGTAAAGTAAGAAGTACGAATAGGCTACTTTAAATACTGTAATTCTCTTCTTTACATCAGTGTAAACATTGCACACAAAATGGAATAGTTTATTACACCGGAACAAAATAAAAGTATATCAGTCGACCCAATGTTTGGACCACAACCTTACGAGACCCAGGAGGGCGTGTATTGAATGATTTGCAGGACGATGTCTATGATGATAGCACATGAATTGGACCACCTGTCCCACCATGCTTGTTTTGCTTTTTCGACATTTAGAGTTAATATTTCCCAGCTGAAAAAACAAACAAAAAACCCCGAAAACATTTTAACTGTTTAATCAACATCAGTAAGACATTGCTACTCAATATTACACCACAGATCTCGACAGCGATTCAAAAATGAGTCATTATTATTTTCATATTGTAGTTATCAATGCAATTGATAGAGAGTTTTCTTGATCCTTAAATGGTCTCTTTTATTAGTCTGGTGATGATGTCAGAATGTGTGGGGTGAAAGGTCATGCCATCCACCTCCATCGCCAAGTTCCCAGTTTTGCCACTTCTAATTCCGAACTGCATCAGTGTAGACAGGAAAGATTCCTCCTGCAGGTGAGAGAGTTACATTAGCAGCAAAGCATCAAAGACAAAATCAAAGAAAAAATAATAGGATTTATAACCTTCTCCACTGACGGCAGGTTGTCAGTCCAGTCCTGCAGTTGTTCCTGTGATGTTGTGGTTTCTTTGCCCAGGCCTCTCTTCAGGTACCTCTGGTGTGAGGGGCAGGTGTTTAGAAGGAAGAGCCCACAGGCCACAGCATATCCACCCCAGTTAGACACTCCTGGAGAAGGGGAAGGACAGACCCCACACCTGTCACTTTAGGGATACTCCCCATAAAACATGAGGACTGAACCTAATACAGCCTGACTGTGAATGTAATTTGACCAATAGACGCCCGGTCGCTGCAGAAAGAGACGTGTGGTTGTTTCTGTACCAGTAGTGATGGCATAGGCAGCAGGAACATCACAGGCAATGAGGCTGCCGTTGGGCATCAGGCTCTTCACCCTGTCCTTTAGTTTACCCATCCCCAACTCATTACCTCCATCACCAATTCCTACAGAAGATAAAATATCATTACGAATATAATATAATATGAAATTATATCTGCAGAAAATCCATACAGAAGCGTATTTAGAATTATAAACATATAAGCGTCAATAACAAGCCATTCTATTCTTGTTACAGAAATAACTCAAATTTGCAGGGAGACTTGAGAACCTGAAGGGAAAAATAAAACCATGGTAAATTTAGTATTTGCCTACAGTACCTGTGGTCATAATGCCAGGAATATCTTTTGCGGCAATAAAGAGGTCATCAATGGGATCCACCAAATGTTTGATGTTTACTCCTCTCATGTTGTAGTAATTTCCATCAGCAGCCCTGCCACTACGCTCTATCGCCACAATGTGGTCAAACCTGGTTTTAAACAACAAAATGAGTGTTAAACTATAGTTTTAGAGTCTCCAAGGTCGACTTAGACCTAAACATACTAACGATATAACTGAGAAACTCTACAGCAGTGATAACCAACTGGCGGCCCGTGGGCATGCAACTGGATTCCAAAATAATATATTGTTATATATAATTCTGCAAAGGTCAGACTACAGATCAGCTTACCTTGGTTTGTTTGGCTCTCCATGGTGACACAAGAAGTTCAGTGCAGCATCTGGACCAGTGTCTTCAAAAGTGACCAATGGGATTGCAGTTTTCAGCACCCCTGGTGGTGGAGATGTAAAACTCTGTCATTATGAGTTGGACACTGGAGACAATCTCTTCTACTAGGGGTGTGTATTGACAAGAATCTGGCGATACGATATGTATCACCATACGGGGCAACAATACAATATACACTGCGATAAACTGCCATACTATAGACAGGGCGATGTAGCTTTTTGACACACAATGTTGAAACACGCTTGACATCAGGTTAAAATTAAAAGAGTGGAATCTACATTTGTAATCGTAGAAAAGAAATAAAAATAATCCAAAGCCAAAAATATTTGCACGTTTATTGTAAAAAGAAAATCGATACAGGTCTGTAAAATCCTCCTAGAATCCTACCTGTTTCCACAGCCTTATCAATAATAGCCTTGTTCATTTCCAGGGCCCTCCTGTCTGTTATCATGGTAACCTTCTTTCCTAAAGACAACAGCATGGTTGCCATAGCAATAGCTCCAGGTGGGCCATCTGTCTCATCAGGTGGGCTAGAGTGAAAAAAACAAAACAATTTTTGCTTTATTTTGGCACAATGAAAAATCCCAAAACCTGTGACATTTAAAAATCTTTTTTTAGATTTAATGTTACAGTACATTGTACTATATTTAATATAAAACAACCAAACTCCTTAGGACAGTGTGTTGATCTCCTAAGATGGTATAACAATCTTTTGTTTTTTTTTTATTCTTCACAAGGCTGAAAATATTGTTGCAATAGTACTTTTTATCAATTAGTAGACATTTGAGTCCCCCCTTCCCCAAACACTGCATTGGTACATGGCCTAAAATAATACTGCATATATTGTAGGAGCAGGTACTTTTGCATGTAGTGAGTGGGGAAGCCAGTGGTTATGGCAACAGAATCTGAGTGAGAGAGAGCGAGACAGGAGCGCAGAAGTTCGTCCTGTGTAAATAACGCTTTGATCCCTCGTTCACCTGGGGAAACACAGTGAAAAATTTTCATATTCAATTCTGTGTTTAACATGTTCTCATCATGAAGATGCTGTAGGTCAAGAAATCTCCTGAGAAGTTGACATTTACAAAAACCTTTGTTAGTTGTTGAGATACTTTAAGTGCAAGTGGTGGGAGAGCAGAAGTACAGTAGGTATGCTGAAGTAGGATGTATGCTTTTTGTGGGGTATTAGTGGAATATCCTCTTGACTACCAGTAATTCAAATTTGTCCTCTGTGGAGAAGGTTTGTAAACCTGAATATCTCTCAGCCACTGAATTCTATTGCTATCTACAGAGGATATTTAGGGCTTTACAGTGATGCCATGAAAATGAAACACAAAGTTATTTGTTCTGTGCATTTACCTGGGTCCTCTCCAATAATCATTTCCAAATGTCTGATTTTTGCCACTGCCCTCCGAGATACCAAGCTGTACAGTAAGGGATTGTGGGACACCAAGAAGCTGAGTGGGGTCAGCTCAGGGTTTAGTTGGTTGTTTGGAGGGTTATCACTGTTGGGAGTGGGGGTTATGATGGAAGTAGAGGAGTCTGGGATATCAGTCAGGAACATACATCCTGGTGAATGACTGAACGCCAGTGGAACCTCTGAAACAAAGTAACATGATGATCAGTTAAGGGTTGTCAATAGCTATTAATAACCACAGGTCCAGTCAAAGATATTGCTCACTGCTGCTAAGTATTGCCTGGATTGCAGTCACTCCACAGGCCCAGAAGACTGGGACGTCACCAGGCTGCAGCTCCACTGGATCCCCATAGTCTGGTCTGGACAGATCCGGGATTCCTAGCAGAGCTACTCACACACACAAAGTGCACTTTGGGACATTTAGAACATTAAACCTTCAGCATAACAAAATAATGACAAATGATAACCACAGACTGGGGTCAAAGCTGTTTAGTCAAAATGACCTGGTCTTGGTGGTAATGTGGAATTATAGATTCTGAAAAGGTCACTGGTTATAATAGAAATACTTTGGAAATGTTTACAAAATTAGATTTTTAACAGACTCACCTGGTTCTCCAATGTGTACAGGAGCTCCGTGTGCCAGTGGATTAAGGTGAGTCACTTCCACTGCTACATTCAGCAGAGCAGCTGGAATAGGTCTCATGGTGACCACTAGAGGGCAGCTGAACATTTCAACAGGAACACAGGGAACTGCAGTCTAAACAAATGGGCCAAACGCGTGTTCTGACTGATCAAGAAAACCATAAAAACAAGTGACAAGATGTCACATCAAATTTATTATTGCTCCGCACCTTGTACATGCTGACGTTCCTGCCCTGCTCCACATTCCTGACAGGAACTCCTGCAGCCTCTAATCTGCCCTCAAAGCCAAAACTGCAGCCCAGATAAAAACACACCATGTCTGACAGCTGCTGGCTCAGAGGCACAGAGTGCTGTGAATCAGTTCTGGAGGCAAAAAAGGACAGTTAAGTCCGTCAAATGACAAATATAATTTAATGAAAAAACATTAAAGTTATGAATGTGACACCTGCCATTTATATACTTAAAGCATGAATATGTGGGATAGTGAAGTGATCAATGTCACAAAATATCAAAAGTTCGTTAGGGTTAGGGTTATATTAAATATTTTTACCAACTTTAATTAAACAGTCAAAATACAGTACGTGATAATTGTTTGTGGTTAATGGTTAGGATGTATCATTAGTATCTGTTAATCTTCTGAATTACCTTGGTTCACTGGTAAATGTCTGAAGGTTGGACACAGTTTTTACAAACTGTCCTTTTTCGTACACACAGTACTTAGGAATATCTTTTCTGTAAGGAGAAAGAAAGAAACACGGAGGAAAGACAGAGTAAAGGTTGACAAAATACATTTGAAATCTAGTTGTCTAATGGTTGTACATAATGTTTTAGTGTCTTATATGGGACACATGATCCTCAGGTGCTGGTCTAAGGATCTGCTTTAGTCACTGTTTCACTCTGAGGGACTGAAACCCCGAGTATTTCAATGATTATTGTTCCACAGTGTTGTGTTCGTGTCGAAGCGAGAGTGAGAGGAGGGCGCCCCCCTGGGGCATAAAGACAAAATAAATTTCAGTATTTTCTAGGATATAGCCAGTCTGCGGTCGTATCTACAATAGTGGGTGCTGATTTTTTAAGGGGAACCACTGGTCTAAGCAATTAGTTGAACATTGTTGTATAAACATACAACTTAACTACAATTAAATATCATTTCCAAACTCAAAGTACGTACGTACAAAACGCCAGTACCTTATGTCAGCCTCTTTAGCCAGCGGCTGACAGGAAGTCTCTCCTGATTGGCTGCAATAAAGCAACGGCAACGGGGCAGGGTTACTGCGACAGAAGGCTTCAAAGTAACTCGCCAGGTGATTGGGTAAGATGGCGACGTTAGCCTGCAGGTAGCCTGAAACAGGGAACCAGATAAACACAACAGAATACTGGCTTTTGGTGGCTTTAAAGTAAGTTAAAGTAATGAAACGTCATTTAATCACAAATACGTAACATGTACTATAGGACATAATTGATATCATTATCATAAAAGCTTCATTTGTGAGAAATCTCAAGTATTAGGCTCATTCTGTTCAATATATCTATGTGACAAGACAAACAACAATAAAAATTGTTAAAAATAGATCTGATTTGACCGACACAGCCTACCTTTAGCCAGTCCAGTTGTTGTGGTGATTCTGGAATCATTCTGTCTGATTAACAGCCTCAATACAGCAGGAGTCAGAGAGGTAATTTTACCTAGATCCATCTCAGCCAGAGCCCACGCTCACAGTTTATGACAAAGGTAAGTACAAAATACTTATTGACCAGACAGACAACCTGGAGACTGCAAAGAAAGAGAAAGAGAATAAGGTTAATGTTTAAAAAGCTGACTGGTTGAAGGTAGAATTTCTCTGTTATACATTTGCTCTATGAACACACCTTGAACAGTTGCACATCTAACAACAACGTACACACACAAACACACATACACTCAATAAAACATCTACAGCTCTAAGCAGATGAAACCATATCTGTTGTGTTTCTGTCGTGCTCCACCTCCTCCACAGATTAGCATGAATGCCAAAAACTACAAATAGCTAAAAGTAAAATTGTCACATTTCAATATTGACTCAAGCCAGACCTTGACAAACTTAACATTTACTGTTTTACTTTTTTTTTGCTGTTGCTGCTTTCAGTACTTTGTCCACTTTTAAAACACTAACATTTAAAAGATTGTTGACACATACACACGTTTTTCCTGATGTAGAAATTGTGAATTCCTGGAGTTACCTACCTAAACATTGACACATTAACTCTTACCAACTAGTTTGTTTCTCACATGTATCTGTTCCAGCTCAACTGTTCTGTCATGTGTCCGCCGCAGGAGTTATTGTATATTATGGAATGAATGTTGGGTCACTGAAGCAACAATACGTACGAGCTGCACTTAGTTCATGTGGCAACTGCCAACTTTTTCTGGTCTGCTCAACTGACCCAAATGGGCTGCACAGTACATACAAGTGTGCTGTAAATTTGTGGAACAGTTGTTGCACAAGCCTTGTCAAATACAAAGTCAATTTTTACAAAACAAACGACATCAGTCAATTCAGTAAGGAACAGTAACATGTACAACAACAAAGGGCAAACCATACACTGTAAATGAGTAGAAGAATTTGGAAGTGTTGCAAGATTTTGAAGTGGGACAGTGTACAAGCGTTCATTTAAAAATAGCAACAATGACTTTATGGTGGTGACGAAATTACTCTTATGTTTACAACAGTCATGTTGAACAGAGTGTACAAACTGAGTGACTAATATGTAATTTTGACAAAACAGCTTTGTCTGTGTTTTGGACTGCATTGACAATACAAAAATCATATTAGAAGATTTAATTTGTAAATTTATGAAAATATAACAATGTATGAAGAAAAGAAGTCTTGGGTTTATGAGAGTAAAATTGCTATTTTACAAGAATAAAATCTGTGTATAAGAATTATAACATCATAAATTGTTGTCATAAAGGTATGATTTTATCATCATAAAGTAATAACATAAACTGTTATTCATTAATGTTATTCTTTAATTTCTTCTTATAATGGTTCTATTATTTCCTACAATTGTATTCTTATAATCTCATAATTACCATTTGGCTAAAGAAAAGTAAATGGTTCAAAACTGAATTATTTCTTATTGTTTTTTAACCTACAGACTCTTTGGTACCAAGGCCAACAACTAAAAGTGCATGTTTAGGTTTGGTACTGGAATAATGTGGAAAAGGGTAAGTGACTCAAAAACCTTTATTTCAAAGTTTTATTGCTTTAATTCTGTACCTAGCGGCTCCGCCCACGCCCCTCCCCCAAACCTAATTAAAACAAGTATTTCTGCCTGAAATTACTGACTTGTTAAACCACAGAAAATGTTGAAAAGCTTAAGAGTAAATGTTAACCATTTTTCCTGTTAAGGATGCCGTTCTATACATGATACTATTAACATTTACTCATTATTTCATTACAGCTATAACTGATATAATAGTTCTTAAAAAACAAACTTAAGTCTAAACAAGTTGCTCTTTGCAGCGTCAGACACGTAACAAACTTAGCTAACGGGTAGCCCGCATCGTACTTGCAGAAATGCTCAATGTAAATGACTTGTTCGTTGTCTAAAGACTTTTAAGTTCCAGGCATGAATATGCATGAATCGGTATAACATCGGTGTTGTACCGATACGGTGCTGTCTTACCGTAATGCAGCGGCACAGGAAACAAAGTTATGAAAAACACAATTGTAAGGGGAAACGAAAGTCGACAATACACCGGAACTACGTCACGAGTTGCCGGTGGGTAGTTATTTTGCCGTAACAGAAATAAATCAATACAATTAAATAAAAACAATTTAAAAAGTAATTGATAGCTTATGTCAGTGATAGTCTTCATGAAGGAAACTTAAGTTTTAGAGGTAAACGGCCAATGTGTTCCATTCACAACATCGTAATATTTAATGTAATTACTAGTGGAATTATCTGTAATTAATTTATTTTTAAGGATTAGTCCCAATGAATCACATTTTTTATTTTTAAAAGTATTGGGATAAGAGTTAAAGTGTAATGACATTAAATTAGTACAAAAACATCCTTGAATGTAACTAAAAGGGAAAAAAGAATACAAAAACAATAGTGTTCCCTCCTCACTGTGGATTAAAATATTTGTGGTAAATCGCAATGTAACGTTTAGGGTCCACTACAAACTGTCATCGATTGACATGGTAATAATCCCAGTTGAAAGCCCATCCTGATCAACATCCCACACGTTCTATAAACCATGGTGCGTCTGTGTGTGTGTGTATTCAGAGCCACTTTCAAAAATAATAATAATAATTGAACTGCTTTAATGCGCAATAAAATTCTTGTCACCAATTCATTAATGTCTAAACAAACTAATAATCAATTAACCTGATCAGCCCTAATAAAGTCACTTTAAGGCCACGTGGTAAAAGAGTTGGTAGGACACTAGTCTTTGGCCAGGCTATCTCTGGTTTGGGCCCTGAAGGTTTACTCTGGGTACTTTTGGTACGTATCTCCCACCATCTGAAAACAAACAGGATTAGGATAATTTTCTGAGCTACTACAAGGTTTTTATTCCATAGATTTCATAACCTCTCAGTGTTTGTTAAACTAATTTCCCGCTTTAACATCATAGACACAACCTTAATGTTCCCTGTAGAGTCATGGGTCTGTTGGTTGCCCTGGTTTAAGCTGAAATAAATGCCTGTTTCTGACCTTAGACAAACCTGCTTTGGTTTTTAATGGTATTGATTCGTTTTCTACCGCTTGAACAGAGTTTGAACTTTGTGACGACCTCTCCGGCTTAGCTGTGTTTGTGGTAACAAAACGGGGCTGGAGGTGCAGGGAGTGCCTCTATAAGATTGAGTTGGAAGTGTGTCTGCATTAGCAAAGACAAGAAGCAGCTGTAAAACACAGAGACGAGTCATTTATGTAACCCATGATGGGTTATAGAAAGGTGTGGCTGTTACTGCTGCTCAGCAGCTATGCACTGGCACGTAAGTCAAAATCCATTTTCATCTGCATTACGTGAATCAGGGGCTTTTATCAGATTTTTTCCATAGTTGTTGTTCCATAGTTGTTGTTCTACGGGGGATTATTTGTGAAATAGCTTTTATGAAAAGACCGCATTTGGTTAATAATAGCAGGCAATCAGCTATGACGTGTTAGTGATGTGCACGACCTAACAATCTAGGATATGATATGTTTGTTGTACTACTGCAGCCAGACACATACAGTAAATAACCACCTTCTTCATTTTTTAAATGTATTTGTTTTATTTATTAGACATTGATTGATTCAATCATAAAAATTGATAACACACATGTTGTTTTGTTTAATTCCTTTCACTCTGTTTTGCAGAAGGAGGCAGTAAACAAGAATGTCTGTGTAAGTTGAACCACTTTATTAAAGACTGTTTGACCCCAGACTTCTATAGACCACTGGGTCCTGTGGGATGGGAATTATGTAGAATTTACAAACATGGACTTTGTAACTGTTTGCACCGGGTTGAATGTGACTGTAAATACTGTATGTAGTGATGATAGACACACAGTGATCTGATGTGCTGAACTAAAAATTGAAAATTCCCACTTGTTCAAAGTGGGCAGTGACCAAAAAACTTTGGGAACCACTGCAGTAATAGAATGTGTTAGACACCCACTGGCCTCGCATGCGATGTACTAACTTAGCTTTGAATGTGGCACATATGCAGCAAAAGTTGTTCAAACTCTGTTCTTCCAAGTACTGTCAAATTAATTACTGGAGGCGGTGACAGGCGTTGATCTCTAGTATATTTCACTTACATTTAAAATGTCAAACAGTATATGTGTAGTGGGAAATTTGAAAATTATTGGGGTTTTATTAAATAAAAAAAAAGCATTATCAGTTGCTCCTAGAAACTTTTCACCATTAATACTATATTGATACTCTTAGGTTTTTCCATCTGTTAGAAAAGGCATGATTTGCATGATAATGTGATTTGTAAAAAGTTTTTTTTTAACTTTAACCTTGCAGCCGAACAACATAGGAAGATATGTTTACATATGAGCATATATTTACACATGGAGCAAAATTCAAAGAATAAATATCCAGTATCCAGCCAATAAATATCTACTACTACTAAATATTCATCATTACTGTGCTACAGTGGCATCCAGGTTCAAGGCCTACAAGAAATATGTGTACCAATATACAACTGAGAGCAGAAATACTGCAGGCGACACCCCCGCCCTGATCAACGGCCCCAAAATCTCCTGTCAGGTACGTGATATCTGCACTGTCACGTGACTCGTAAAGTAAAGTCTTATCTCCGCTGACTGTCTGTATCTGTGGTGACAACATGTACTGTATCCAATTTCTTTAGGTGGAGATCGAAGTCCCTCAAGCCTGCAGATTTGTCCTGCAGACCAGGGACTGTGCACTGAGTGAGATCTCTGGTTCAGATCCAGAGGGCCAGCCGGTTTACAGACCGTCTCCTAACTCTGAGGCCTTCAACACGGCCATGGGAAAGTCAGTATGAACAGTGCTTCATGTGAACATGCAGTGTCATACATTTTCTTTTGTGGAGGTAAATAGGTATTTTTTTGTCAGAAAGTTTCAGACTGAGGCCCTACAGTGTGCATTGATGTTAGCTTGTCCAAAGTCTGATTCCATTCATATGGACTGACCTAGAACAAACATTTTTGAACCAACTGCCTCTGGAGGTTAGGCATTACTGAAAGATAAAGCATTTTAATGTCATTACCCTCTCCCTCATTCCTCGTCCCATTAAACCATTAAACATGTTAAGTGGAAGATTTGTAATTATGTATTTGCAATTTTCTTCTGAATGACAGAAAAGATCATTTTTCATCTGTCTATTTATTTATTATTTTCATTTCTTTAAATCTAAACATTGGTACATATTCAATTGATGGACTTTTTGCTTAATATGTAGTGAACTTTGCCAATACTTGTAATTATGGTAGTGCATATTTATGTCATCATTTAATGACATAGTTTTGGTTTGATGCACTGAAGGTTGGAACAATCCAGTATTGTTAAAACTGTGCAGTTGAACCATTTTCTGAAACTTACTGGTTTGTCTTTGTTTCGATGCAGAAACCCCCTGAAATTCACGGCACAGGATGCGACCCACATCCATCTTTACCCTGAGAGAGAGGAACAAGTCAACATTCTTAACTTTAAAAGAGGAATTATTTCGGCACTTGTGGTCCCAGAAATAGAGGGAGTGCAAAACAGCCCAGTGGTGAGTGTGGTCACAAGTACAGTAGAAAAGAAAAGAACACAATGTTAACCTGAGAAGTCCAGGTTAACATCAAGGAAGGTTAAAGGGTAGATGCCAATCATTCGACTGTTTGTCTTTTTTATTGTGTGATTGTTTCATGTATACGTAGTATTTTTACACCGACATGTACTGCAGGTTGTCCTGCAAAATTCTTAGTAAATGAGATTCCAGTGTCTGCCTGTGGAAAACGCAAACAGACAGACAGACATATAGAAGGCAACAGTAGTTGACCAGGTCACAAATCACACTCCTGTCTTTTCATGTGGATTTGATTACTGCTATAGATGTTGTTATACTCTTATCCTGAATCCCTCTATTCTTTTGCTTTTACCAGAGCACGGTGCATGGTCTGTGTTTAACAGATATTATAGTAAATGTGGTGAAGGACATCCCCACAGATGTGACACTGTCTCGAGAGCTGTCTCATTGTGATCAACACCACACCAGGGAACTGGCCCACAGTCCACTGGCTCTGCTGCAGAAACTGGTGAGATGTAGAATCCTTCCTCTTCTTCCTGAAGTGAGTGATGAGAGTGTCTTGTATGTCAGCATTGAGCAGGTAGCTCTCCCTTGGTCTGTTTCACATATTACCCATGTATTGTTTCTTTCTGCAAACTTGGGTCAAAGCCTGCATATACAGTATGGTGTTATTGGCGAGCTAGCTGTGTAGAATGTATAGTATTAGCTGTATTTAAGGTGCAGCTATTACATTTACATTATCACTCTTCCCCGATTCTAAACCCTTAGGCTCAGTTGTTCTTTAGACACGATTGACAGATCTGAATCCTGTGCGTTGCTGCCAAAGATCGGGTCTACTGTATTTCATTTATTCATGAGACTCCCAAAGTGTGGGGCACACACCCATGGGTGCCACTAGGGGGAGTGTGAGCTTTAAAAGAAAATGTGATGGAAATTTGGAATGTTTTTAGGTGGGATTTTTCCACACAATAAAAACAATAAAAAACATTTCCTTCGTAAAATTAAAAATTAAGAGTGGTTGAATGGGTATGGGTATTGTGGTTAAAATACTGATTTTAACTTTTATGTTAATACATAAATAATGTTTACATATGTTACCAGCATCTTCCACTATCAAAGCTAATCAGAAGCGCTCAAGACTGCAACTACCAGTTTGATAACAAGGGGAAGCACATCACGACAGTCATGTGCACAGAGAAACACATGCATCTGCCCTTCGCCTCTGAGTAAGTACTGTCTGATGACATGTTGTGTGAGAGTATGTTTTTTATTGCCCCAACTTTGTTTCACGGTCTTAACTGTCATACAGGGAGAATGGAACTTCATCCGTAGTGACACAGAAACTGAACTACCAAAGCTCCAAAAAGATTAACAACAGAGAATTTGGTGAGTGATCATTTGAGGCTTAATTTTTTAAACTGTACCTGATGCATTCAAACAACCTTGCTAAACACTAACACAATGTTTTTTACACAGCTGTAAATCCGAGTGAGAGCAGGCCACTGTATTTCGAGGACCCTGACGATAAAGCCTCCATGCAGACGAAGGACACTGTTCTCAGCACTCTGCAGGAGCTTCAGGATCTGTCCGACACAGACCAGGGTCAGAAAAGACCAGGCCTTTTTCACAAGCTGGTTTCCAGCCTCCGTGTTCTGAAGAATGAGACCCTGAGTCAGCTGGTCGACGAAATGCTTGACAGGTCAACTTGGCTGACCTGGCAGGGCCTGGTCCAGTGTGGAACTTTGGAATGCACTAGTGCCATCCTTCAGGCTGCTAGAACCATTGACGGGATGTCAGTGGAAGTAGATGCTCTGGTCTACTGGCTGAGTCTGCAGGCCAACCCTAACAAGGCCCATGTCAGAGATATGCTCAGTATGGCTCAGTATAAACAGAGCAAGGCCATCATGTACGCTCTGGCCAACACAGTGAAGAAGTGAGTAGTAGTAACAGTGACATCTTAGTCTTACATCCAAGAAACATTCATCCAATAATTTGATTTATAATGTAACATAAATGTTCACAGACCAACTGTCCACTTATCCTAATTTGTGTGTCTAGATATAACAAGCGCCACACAGTGGCAAATAGTGGTAGAATGCTTGACTTTACAGCAAGAAGATCACTGGTTCACAAATGATCCATGGTCATGTATCCAGTTGCATGTTCTCCCTGTGTGTGCGTGGGTTTTCTCAGGGTCAACCAGTCCAGCTTCCTCCCACTGCCCAAAAACACCCTCTGTAGGGCTGTAGGTTAATCAAAAACTCTAAGTTCATAGACGTGGATGGTTGTATGTCCCTATATGTGGCCCTGTGATTTATTTCTGATCACATTAGGTTCCAAACTTCACGGTCTCTAAGTATTCTAAGTATCTAAGTATTTATATACCACACCTCATTAACGTTATAATGCATCAACACGCAGGTTTCATAAAGGCGGAGTCACAGCAGAGGTCACAGAAGTGTCAGCGTTCATGGAGACACTCTTGGATGACTGCTCAGGAGAAGATCCAGAGTCTGACTTCCTTGTGCTGCGGGTAATAACAGTAGTAACCTCCTGCTGAGTGAGTTCATCCTCAGTGTTATCTGAACCGTGTTCACGTCGTACTCTGTTCTTCATCTCCAGGTGGTCGGTGTCATGGGTCAGGCCATGCAAGCTGTTAGTCCGAGTTTGATTTCCTCTGTTTTAAATTGTGCTAAAAGAAGAGACATTCCATTGTCCAACCAAAAGGCAGCCATACAGGCCCTGAGGCTAATGGACATTAGGGATGAGGTACAGTCACAATATCTATTACATTATTTTGTGATGGTGAACATGACCCTTGCTTAAATGTATACACGATACAATACGTAAATATAATGATGTGTATGATATTTAATATAATTAAGGTTAAGTGTATTCAGTACATGCTAGAAATATATATTAATTAATGTTAATATCTGCTTATTTCAACCAAAAGGTAATTTCCTGCTAACTGACAATAACTGTATACAAACGTATAGTTATACTGCTATAGAGAATATCAGTATAATCAGTTCATACTGGAGAGAGGGTGAGAGAGGGGGGTGGAAGACAGTGAGAGACTGGTATTTGCTTCTATTTAAAATACTGTATCTCTTTCCTAGAAACTTTGTTGGTTTTATAACGTGACAATAATAGGCCTTATTCTTCATTATTGTGTGCAGTAGGACACATTGATTAAAGGAGAGAGAAAAATGGACTGCAGTTATTGATATTTGGCAGCAAGTGGGAATTTTTACAATCACTGCAGCTCTGACCAGATACTTTAAAGACATTTCCTGGGTCTGGAAAAACTAAATACTCCTGAATGTTATGAACTAATTTTTGTCCTAATGTCACGTTCTAATCTTGCCATTTGTTATTTGTCAAAAACAGATGGTCAGGGTTCTCACAGAGGTGTTCCAGGACGACCAGAACTCTGTGGAGAGACGTATAGCAGCGTATCTAACCTTAATGAAGAGCCCACCTCTAGCCCTGGTTAAAGACATTCTGCATATTTTGAATTATGTGAGGAATGAACAGATCAGGAACTTTGTGTTTTCTCACCTCAAGAACATTCTTGGCTCTCAGGAGCCAGAATTGCAACAGTGAGTGATCTTTGATCAGCATTATAATATTCCATAAACAGCACATTTTTGTTATGTCGGAATATAGAGCGTGTGTGTGTTCTTGGTTACTGCTAATGAGTTCTGTGAGGTCGTCTTGTTCTAATCAAAACTTTCTTCTTTTAAAGACTGAAAGAATACATTCAGTCGGCTCTTCCACCCCGACATGAAGTACAGGAAGGCATGTCACGCAACTACAAAACAGAGTCTGCTTTTGGCTCAGTGCAAGCAAACATCATCTTTGACGAAAGGAACACACTACCGAAGGAGGTGATGCTGGAAACCACGCTAAAGGCTTTTGGCTACAGCCACGATGTCTTTGAAGTAGGTTCCGCCAGAATCTTGACGTGATGACGTCTCACACAAATTTGGTATTTTTTTTAATATTCAGAATCTTTCCCTTGTAGGTTAACGTTGAAGGATCCGGATTTGAACCAACCATTGAAGCTCTTTTTGGAGAGAAGGGTTTCTTTCCGGACTCCTTTTCAAGAATTATGTACTGGGCAGAGAACAATGCTGGGATGCTTAAAGATGTTTTGGAAAAGATGGCTCCTGGGAAAGGGAGAATGAAAAGACAGGTACAACGATCAGTCGATAGTTTGCTTCACTTTTGGATAACAACAGGGAAAATTCTAAAAATCAAGTCTTTTCAGCCCCCGCAGGATCTTCTGAAAGACATCACAAACAATATCCAGAAGCTTGTGGATGACCTGCGAACATCGGAAACCCCCGAGGCAGTAGCCTTTCTTCACCTTCTAGGAAATGAGATTGGTTACATGAAAACCAGTGAAATACGCACAGTCTTGGAGACTCTGACAATGTATTACCAAATTTTCTTCAATGTTTTACCCTACAAGGTACGTCTTGGTTGATCAACAATAACATACTATCAGTGCAACATTTGAGTATCAGAGGACGTCAAAGGACTATTGTTAGTGCAACATTTGAGTATCAGAGGACGTTGTCTCAAAGTGCTTAACAATAGTCATCCTCACTGACAATCTAACAGCTGTTTTCTCTGTTCTCTGCCCTGCAGATTATAATGTCATTAATTAACAGCACCAACAACAAGGTGTTTGCCCATTACATCTTCATGGAGAATATTTTCTCCCTCCCTACCGCCTCTGGCCTCCCACTAAGGTTCTCAGTGGCCGGTGTGATTACAGCTGGAGCCAAAGGAGGCCTCGCCCATTCACCCAGTACTGGAACGGTGAATGAGAATCTCTATTAGACTAAAATGACTTATTTCTTTTATCACCTGCATGGTGATCTGGGCTACATTCACTTTTGTCTTTTTGCAGACTCACGTTTCCTTCATGCCATCGGTTGGACTTGAATTTATCACCCAAATGGGCGTGAACGTTCCAGAATACCTGGAGACAGGGCTTGTGATGCAGACCAACGTGTACCATGAGAGTAACAACAATGCTCAAGTCACCATGAACAGGAACCAGATTAGACTGTCTCTACCAGCCCCTAAAGGAAATATTCAGCTGTTCAGTTTCAGGTTAGTGTCATTTGTATCAACACCCTGCTCTACAGCAGTTTGTGGTTGATATGACACTGATTTCATTTTCTTTTTAAACCAAAGCAACAAGTTGCTGTCAGTGTCCTCTGGGCGAACGACCACAGCACCTTCACAGGGAGAGGACAGAACTGATTTGACAGAGTGCCAGGATTTATTTAGTGGTCTCAAACTGTGCACCGTCCTGCAACATTCTAATGCCATGTCCATGGACAAGGCCCTTTATTATCCTCCGACTGGAGAGACGAGGTGGGAAATATCACATGTTCTGGTTCATGTTCCCAAACAATTTCCAAATCCAAGTAGCAATTCTTTACTTTTTTATACTTGCTATTTTTTTCTCCATTTCATTTAAAACCAATTGTCTTCCAGGTTTGCAGTAGAAATCCAGCCTACAGGGGAAATTACAGAGTACACTGCCACCATTGAACCACTGAAGGAGGGTAAAAAAGGTCTACGAACAACAGACTCTTTAAGGCTAACCTTGAAAGCAGAAGGTACAGCTGTACAGATATTTATATGTAATAAACGAGCATTACTCCTTCTTAACAATATCATAGAGTAGCAGTAGATATTATAACAGCGGATTATTTATAAATGAATACTGTATGACTATGCACATTTAACTGTGTTAAAGTAAATTAAATACAGTACAGTAAGTTCTCAGTCATTCTTCCATATAATTTGTCAGTAAACTCCTCCATGCTGCTGTGTGGCGAAATATCTAATAGGCAGAAAGAGAGATTGAAATTCAGGTGGTCATTGGACATCAGTACTTACTGTACATCAGTACCCATGTGATTTTCTAAGTTTGTAAAATGTCCTATTTATATTTGATCCAAACCTCCTTCCTGTTGGAGAATAACATATATCATATATCAGTTAAATTTCTGCTGAATAGGTGACGACTCAACAGAGGTCACCGCCACTCTGAAATACAACCGCAATAAGGACATTTTGACCGCGGATGTCGCTATTCCTGACTATGATGTGGAAGCAGGAATCAAACTGGCCGTAACTGACAGCGACTCCAAAGGGAAGAAGATGCGAGGTATTACCATCGATGTCACTAACAAGAACATTCCACAGCTGAGTCTTGTTGGAAGGACAAGGTAAACTGTCTGTTATTTATACATTTTTTTATTATTAAAGCTCATGCTGGTCTCATTGTAAAGGAAAAGCATCTCCTAAAAAAACTCCTAAAAATGGTTAAAAAAAAAAAGAAAACACCTCTGTGTCCTGTTTCAAATACAGGCTTAGCATGATGAAGGACGCCATGTTACAACTGCAGATGAATATCCCCTCACTGAATTCCAAGGCATCTGTCACTGCAACCCTGAAGGACGACGAGGAAGCACTGATGGAAGTTGAGACTGTCGTCTCACTGCCAAAGACGTCCTTTCAGCAGAAAAGTCTTCTCAGACATGGTAACAGACGTCCCACATATGTTCAACAAAGAAACGACATTAAGATCAGTGTTTCTCTCTCTTATTTATTGTGACCTTCTCTTCACAGACGCTGACAAGTTTGAGGTGGAGCTGACATCGGACCTGAACTCAGATATTCACAAACTAATCCCAGGTCTGGAGGATTATAATGAGCAGCTGCAGAGACTTTTTGATGATGTTCTGGACCAAAGAGTACCAAAGACCGACATGAAACTCCGTCACATAATCAACAAAGGGATTGAGGTAAAGACATTAGATGATCTAATGCCGTGGTTCCCAAAGCTTTTTTGGCCACAGCAGCCCCTTCTATGTTCCCAACAAGGTTGACATATCCCAACATTCCCCACACCTACTCAACAACACACACATACTGTATATGAGGCCTGAATTTAAATATTAATGAAAATATCAGCTTTTGGCACCCTGTGGGTGTGCGCCCCACACTTTGGGAATCCCTGATCTAATGTATAATATTTATGTCGAGTAAATCACTGCAACACACCCTACTGCAGTTCCACCAGATTTAGATCACGCTAACAATACATAATACAACTTACATTGTTTTTTGCAATGTTTCCCTGAAGGCAGGAAATATATGGCTGGACAAATTTGGAGCCCACGTCCCATATCTTGGAAACCTGCGCAGTAGAAGAAGCATCTTAGAGTTTTCTCTGCCGTCTGTACCTGAGAAACTGTTTCTGCAGTCGTACGTATTTCACAAACACAGACAGTGGTCGATGATCTGTTTGATATAGTGTACGTGCACTGACTGATTTTTCTCCTTTTTGTCACTAGTGACAGCCTGTTTCGATACCAGTTCAACAAAGAAAGGATGGCTATCTCACTTCCTCTTCCACTTGGAGGGAAAAATGTGAATGACCTCAACATCCCAACCACTCTGTCTATTCCCAGCATAGATTTGAACAGATTAGGCATCAGTATTCCTCCCAAAACATATTCATTGCCACCATTTACTATTCCAACTACTTTGGATTTTTCCATACCTCTTCTTGGTCTGGCAGAAGCATCCACCAAGATCAACACCAATTACTACCTTTGGGAAGGATCCTTCTTGGGCGGCAACAACACTGTCGATGTCCCCAACTACATTGTACAGTACAAAGCCCTGGCTCAGTCACCTCTAAAGCTATTGTCATACAAGCTGGAAGGTAAGTCTTTTTACAGCTCTTTACTTCATTACCATCGTCTACTGTGGTGGAAATCTTCTGTTTTGCCCATAATTTGAATGTATGTTTACATTTCTGGATTACATGTGACAGCCCTGAGGTACTTCTAGTTAATCCTTGAAATGGATGAGAAATGTGATTTGATGAGAAATGTTAACTCCGTGGCATATTTCAAAAGTCAAGGTGGAGTAGAGATCACAGATATACTACTAATAATATATTTCTTTTATTTTATTTATGTCAGGAACTGGATTGATTTCTGGGAGAGCTGAGGACAATCTGAAGTATCTCCTCAATACTTCCTTCAGTCATTGCTTTATTGATACAAGCTTCAGTATCGTAGAATCACTGCAGGTAACAAGCAAATTTAATGCAAGGGCCAGCTATAAAGTGGAAGTTTCTAGTCCAGTGGGTCTGGAGGCCTTTGTATTTTACTCGGCTCAGTCAACCTCCACTCTGAATTCAGATGAGGTTTCAGGAGATGGTTCCTTAGACGGACTGCTGAGAGTTGGTCCACTACACTCCAATGTGTCCTACAGCAACAATTACAACCTTCGACCACTAGAAAGAAAAGGAAAGGGAGAGTCTACCTTTGTCTTTGATTCACCTCTCATCAGTCTTCAGAACAGGATCCACGGTGTCTACGCAAACTCCGAGTTGAACGTGGTGTCTAAGACTAATGTCCAGAGGGACGTCCTGAAGCACGTGGCAGAGCTCAAATACAAAGACGCTCAACTCACTCTAAAATGCAATGCCCTCGGAACGGTCCTGGGTAAAATACTTAACAACAAAGTGGAGCTCGGGGTGTCCAGCAAAATGGGCATTTTCCGCATTGAGTCACAGGCAAACGATGACACGAATAGAGCGTACTCAATGCTGTCTGGATCCTTAGATGTCAACGGTCTGCAGCTGAACTCTGAAGGTTCTCTCATCCTTGAAACAGGGCGTGGAATGCACAAAGCTTCTGTTATGCTTGGTAAAAATGGTTTGACCACGAGTGGAACTAACAGCTTTCAGTGCAGCCCTGTGACATTAGAGAACCTCTTTAATGGAGCCATAGACAACAATGGAGCCAACCTGTCCTCCAGGACCAAAGTGATAGCTGACGAAGGCAGGGGAGAGCTAAACATTCAGGGCAAAGTCACAAGTGCAGACGCCTCTTTTGAAGGTATACTTAAAGGTCATGCTTATGGGGCAACCACCAGAAACAACCTGAATGTTTTATTAAACCGTCGGGCATTGACCATAAATGGTAATTCCATGGCTACACTGAAGCAACTGAGAACAGAAAATAGCTACACAATGACCCTCACTCTGTGGACCCTAGCCCTGGGCTCAAGCACTAACAACGTCATCTGTGAAGACATTTACTACAAGCAAGATACTAAAGTTACCATCAGGCCATTTATCATGTCCTTTGATGTAATGAATGACCTTAAACTTAACGATGTCGACTTGAAAAATGAGGGCCATCTGAAGGTTCAACCAAATAAGGTAGGTCTGAGCGGAAGTACGAGGGGAGTGTTTAAAGAAGAGCATTACCTTAAGCATACCTATGAGGTCAGTTACGAAGATATGGCCGGAACAGTTCAGTGCAGCACATCTGGAACTGTCATGGATGCTCAGATAAGCCAGAAGTGTGAGTTTGAATTTGCCGGACTCTCCTCCAAGTCTATATGTGAAGCAAGAGTCAATTCTGAGCAGCTACGATTTGACGGCACACTCCGCACCATGGCACTGCCTTTCAGTGTCACTGTTGATGCACTTGTCAACAGCGATGGTGAAATTAGATTACGTGGGAAGCACACTGGACAGTTGTACAGCAAGTTGTTGGTTAAAGCCGAGCCTTTGGCTTTTGCGTATTCACACGACAGTCGCATGTCAACCACACATTCCCTCTCAGGTGACCAGTCTTTCACTAGCGTGGACAACAAATTAGACGGCCTGCTGAGCCCTGCCGATCAGTACCTAAACTGGAAAGTGAAATCTAAAATCAACAACCATGCCTATAACCAAGATATCAGTACTTACAACAATCCTCAAAAGACTGGTTTTGAATTCTCAGGAGCATTACTGACAGATCTATTCAGCAAGCTTTTAAAAGAAAAGAGCTCACCCCCAGAAATTCAGGAGTTCAGCACCATGGGATTCCTCAAGTATGACAAGAACAGCGACTGTCATCTCGTTAGCATTCCATTTATTGACAGCCTTCCTGCTGCATTCGACAGAGTCAAAAATACGCTTGTTAAAGCTCTGGAATCATTTCACCAGTTTATTACAAATCTGGATATCGATGAGCTCATCGTTGACTTTAGGGCCAAGTTAAAAGAGCTACCAAAAAAAGTAAGGGATATTATGCAGAAAATGGATTTAGACCGCAAAGTAAAAGGAATTAAAGACAAACTCGATTATTTTGTCAACGAGTTTTCCATCACAGTCAAGGACTTGGAGCTCGGGATGCAACATTTCAGTCAGAACCTGGAAAATATGGTGATAAATGTCGCTACAAAAATCAGAGACCTCATCGTTACAGTCCAACACCATATTAAAGATGGGGACTTTGGCGTGAAAGTAAGAGAAATCCTCTCAAAGATCGGTGATCAACTTCAAGCCTTTGATGACAAGTATCAAGTCAAGCAGTCACTTGTCAAAGTGCTTCTTGCCCTGGAGGACATTGTGCGACAGATTGACCTGCAGAAGCTCACAGATGTCAGTACGCAATGGCTGCGAGAGCTGGACTCAAAGTATGGAATAAGAGACAAAATAAAGGACAAACTCTCTGAAACAAAGAAGAAAATCGAGAACTTTGATGTTAAGAAATCGTTCCAAGACTTGAGTCATTTCTTCAACTCAATGGATTTGGCCAAGTATGTTGAGCAGCTGCACTATAGCATTCCAACATCAGATATAGCAGGAGTGATTGAATCTATAAACGATGTCATAGTCAACTGGATCGATGAATATGAAATCCCAGACAAATTTAACGCCGTTTATTTCTACATCAGGGATCTCATTCTAAAATACAATCTCGATGACAGATTCAAGGAGCTCATGGATCAGGTCGTCGTTCTCATCAAAGATTTCAAAATTCAACAGACTGTACAGTCGGTTGTGGATGCTCTGAAGAGTGTCCAGTTTGAATTTGTTTATAATAAAATGATGCAGTTCCTCGAGAGCATTAACAGACGCCTTAGAAATATTGACTTTAAGAGAAGCATTGAAGAGTTGAATGAACAGATGTATTCAACACTGAAGTCACTGAAAGACTTTAACTACAGTGAATTTGTGGATAAGGCCAACGAGAAGATGGCTGAACTGACAGACTATATTAATGAACAAATTAAAAAGTATGAGGTGGTGCAGAAAGTGAAGGCTGTCAGGGATTTCATCAGAAAGCTCCAGAGTGACATCTATTCATATCTGGAGAAGCTCAGAAACACGAAGATCGCAGATGCCCTGAAGAAACTGGCAGATTTGATCGGGACTACATTTTACAATGACGTCAAGTTGAAAATTCAGGATATGCTTGTGGATATGAAACAAAGAATCCTTGACATGGACGTCCGCGAGGAACTGTACATTCACCTCCAAAGATTCAGCGAGTCTTATGGCAATATTGTGGCATTCATTAGAAATCAGTTCCAGGAACTGAAAGGGAAGATTACACAAATAGTTAAAGACAGTGATATTATAAACCAGATTATAGAAGCCGTTATCACAACTCTTGACGCACTGAAAAAATCAGAAATTAAAATTGGCTCTTTTACTGTACCGCTCACCGATCTTGTTGTTCCGGCATTTACAATTAACCTTAACAAACTGCACGAAATAAACATCCCATCCCAGTTCTCTATTCCTGAATTTACCATTCTGAATTCCTACACCATACCTGCTGCAACAATAGACTTTGAAGAGATAAAAACAAAGATTGTTGCGCTTATAGATGATATTAGAAAATTTGAACTCAACCTGCCAGATCCTGAGTTCATCTTTGGTGATGTAAAGGTTCTCTACCTCTTCCAGTTACCAGATGTAACCTTTCCTGAAATAACTCTTTCAGAAATAACATTGCCAACCATCACTATCCCCAAATTAAATGTCAAAGATTTTGAAATCACAATGCTTCCATTGCCAGAAGTCAAACTGCACAAGATTACCAGTGACATATGCATTCCAACCTTTGGTAAACTGAATGGAGTATTTAAAGTGAAGTTTCCACATTATACCCTCGTAACTACTGGGAAAATTGAGAACTCCACATCTTCAGCAAGAAATCCACAGTTTTCAGCGTCCATCCATTCAGATGTGAAATCGTCCTTTGAACTCCTGGAATACACACTTGACGCCACGGCCCAGTTAACTGCTCCCAGGATGAAAAAGCTTCTTTTCACAGAAACAGTGAAAACTACACACAAGGCCTTCTCCGTGGACCATGAAGGATCAGTATCACTTACTGGTTCTGCTGTGGATTCTTCTGCCAGGACTGCTGCCAAGGCTACAACCTGTATCTACACTGCTGATTTGGTCAACAACGTAGCACTTTCACTGAAGGGTGGGATCTCTGCAACTGTAGACACCACTTACAACCACAGCTTGGACCTGGCATCAAAGAACTCTTCATCTCAGATGTCGCTGAAACAAAATATAGCAGCTACAGTGGAATCAGGCAGGATTGCAGTGACTGGAGAAACCAATGGTGATGGGAAGTGGTCCATTCTAGACTATTCTGACGAAGGCACACACAAAAGCAGTTTGGATTTCAAACTGGATTTGGACGCTGCCAGGCTTACTTTTGTAGGAGAGACTGACTGTAAGGCGCTGAAATCCAAGAAAATGTTGACCATTGAATCAGTCAGTTTAAGCCACATATCCATCGAAGCCAGATGTGAAAGTGAGATTTTCTCATTTAAGAAAAGTCTAATGGTTTTAAATGCAGGTGCCCATATTGGTGACTTAAAAGTTGCATTAACAGCTTCTCATGATTCTGAATTTACCGGCTGTATGACTGGCTCCATGTCCAACTCACTGGAATTCAAGGCCCATCCTTTTGAAACTGTATTGGATTTTAGGAACAAAGTTACCTCAAAGATGTTGTTACCACTTAAACTGACAGGAAGGCTAGATCTGGTGCATGATTGTGGAGTCATAGTCAACTCTGAAAAGCAGCGAGCTAGTTGTTTGGTTTTGGCAAAATTTAACCAGTACAAGTACCATCATAACTTCACAGCAGAAAATAATGACAGGGAGAAATTCTTTCACTCATCAGCCTCAGGAGAAGCTAATCTGGACTTTATGACGGTTCCACTCTCTGTACCCAGTATAAAAGTGCCTTACTTTGAAATCACACTCCCAGAGGTTAAAGATTTCTCGCTGTGGGAAAATGCTGGACTCAAACACTTGTTGATTACACCTCAACAGTCATTTGATATGAACCTGAGGCTTCATTACTACAAGAATCCTGATGTGCACAGTATTGAATTTCACCTTGGACCAGTCTACAGTACAATCAAGGATCAAGCCGTGTGCATCCAGGGTAAATTTGAACAATGGAGAGACAAAGTAGTGTCGCTCCTGAAGGATTCATACAACCAAGCAAAATCACAGTACATCAAGCACAAAATTGACACGGCAAGCCTACCTCCCAGAATCTTCACGGTGCCTGGATACAAAATACCCATACTGAATATTCATGTTTCTGCATTCAGAGCAGAGATGCCAGCTTTCAGCTACTTTGTTCCTAAAGAGGTTAATACGCCCAGCTTCAAAATCCCCGCCCTAGGTTTCCCTGTGCCTTCCTACACTCTGGTGCTGCCGTCACTGGGATTCCCTGTTATCCATGTTCCAGAAATGTTAAATGAACTAGAGCTGCCAACTGTCACGTTACCAGCTGTGCAGAACAACATTGAGATTCCAGTCTTGGGCAACTTAACCTATGACTTCTCCTTTAAATCACCTTTGGTTACAGTAAGTGCCAATGCTGGCCTTTACAACCAGACTGACATTGTTGCTCGTTTTGGTGCCATTTCCACCTCTGTCTTTGATTTTCTCAATGGTAAGTTTGACGGCACAAGTACTTTGACCAGGAGCCGAGGAATGAAACTGTCTTGCGCTTGGACACTGAAACATGACAACGTGGAGGCAAACCACGGGTGTGCTGTCAGCCTCACAAAGAGAAGCATGGAAGCCTCTGTGTCAGACACAGTTAATATCAATCTACCTTTCCTTAATGTTGAGTTTAAACATGAGCTTACTGGAAATAACAATGCTAAGCCCAACCTAGCATCCAAGAAGAAACTTAGTTACATGTTTAACATTCCTATCATTGAGGCTCTAGGCAAAGGAAATCTTGACACAAACTGGGAACTGGAGGCTCTTTCCTCCCATTTATCTCTGGACACATCTACCCATGGAGAGTCCGACATAGCCGTATTGGGAGGTTATACTTTTGCTGGAGACCTTGACAATAAGGCCAATTTCTACCTCAGCGCAAATGGTCTGCGTTCAACCGTCGGGACGGTCTTAAATTCCCTGATTAGTAAACCGGAAAAGAAGAAACGCAGCACAGACAATGGCGCATTAGAATTTGATGTGAACAACAGCCTCGTCCTGGAGGTTTCCCTGAGTCGCGTCTATGCAACAGTTGATTATTTGAGCAAAAACAACGTTGGATTTGCATTTTTTAGCACAAATGGAAGACACAGTGTTAAAGGAGAACTAGAAATTGTTCCTTTAGTAACCTCCAAGATGACCTTAGACATTGATGCAAGCCAGCCCAGTAGTTTGGGTCAGGTTGGACTCAGGCAGAACATCAACCTGGCCATGAGCTCAGAGAAGCAGTCACTCACCTGGACTTGTCAGGAACAGCTGTCGTCTCTGGTCCATGCTTGTGATTTCCTGGTTTCCAGTGATGAATCTGAGGTACGCATGGATTTGACGGAGTCAGTTCAAGGCCACCTCGGTTTCCTGAAGGCAGTAAAGCTGCCTGTGTATCAGAAGAGCCTCTGGGATGTCTTCAGATTTGACCAGGTCACAGATAAGGATGACTTACAATTCCTCAACATATCTTACAGCATTGTATACATGAAGTCCATGGACGGACAGGAGTACAGTCTTCCATACAATCTACTTGAAAATGGAATTTCTTTTGGCATTACTGAGTTACATCTTGGTGTCCCAACCTGGTTTGAAAAGATTTTAAATTCTCTCAGTCACATTGACATGCGACTGGAGCCTTCTGACGACCCTGACCATCTCACTCTACCACCTTCAATCTCAATTCCAGCCTTGGATTTACCGTTTACTACATTGCACGTTGAGCCATTTACAATCGACCTAAAGAACATTGTGATTCCAAAGGTGATCACCACCGCCGCTTTTGAAATCCTGCTGCCTGGATTGCCAGTGGTATCTGTGCCCAGCTACAATATTAACACAGAGTACCATAAAGGAAAAATGTCCTTCCTTTCACTGAAGGTGCCACGGTCCGATATCACAGTCTCATCGTTCAGTCTCCCAAAAGAGTTCGCCATTGGACGACACACCGTCAGTTTCAAGGAAGTGACACGTTCGGTCTTAAACTTTGAACATCCAACCATTACAATTCCAGAACAAAACATTGAAGTCCCTAACATGGCCCTACATTTACCTCTGAGTGTGTTTATCCCAACATTTGGAACACTCAGTACCACGGTGAAAGTTTCCTCCCCAATTTATAACGTGTCAGTAACGTCCAGTCTGGAGAAGAAAGACACCAACCTCGTGACTTCTCTGAAGTCCGTCTGCACATCGACCATGGCTTTCTTGGAACATGACCTTTCTGGTAAGAATATGTCACAGTTTTATTTTATTTAAAAGTCATGACACCATCAATGTGATATTCATTTATTTATTTGTTTGTCTTTTTAGCCGATGCTACATTTGGTTTTGAAAACGGAATTAATGTGAATGGAAAGAGCAATTTGATTCACAATGATGTAAATGTCCGCTGGCAACATGCTTTGGTACAGAACCTGAGGTAGGTGTGTGTAAGTGTCTGTTGGTGGTGAATTGGAAATCTAAATATTTGTTTACATTTAAATACCTGTTACAGTACAAATGCCACAGAGAGCATGAATCAATGTCTTTAAATACTGTGTAAAAACTGCTCACCTGTATGAACAGATGGTCAGCATCATCAGACCTTTAAGGATTTTCATGTGTCTGTATGACTTAGACCCATGACACAAATTTGGATTAAAAATTAAATAATATCTGTTATGAAAGGCGGGTCAAATTAATGAATGTAAGATAATGAAAATAACATTTTTTGCTTAGTAGTCATCTGTTTGTTTAAACCAGTACATTTTTGTTTCCTTGTTTCAGAACAAAACGTCAAACTCCTCCTTCTGATTTAATGTAAGTGACTTCCTTTGTTCATAAATGTTTCTGAATTTCTCGAGACTTTTTACAGTATGGGTAAAATCTCAACCTAAGCCGAAACATAGGCTCAAGTTGTGTTTGTACTTTGATGAGATACTCCACAGCATCAAAGTTGACATAATAAAACCAAAATATTTCAAGGAATATTGAACAGATTGACCAGCGTGTTGCACAGGTTCAAATTAGATTATTACACAATCATAGAATAGAAAAGTTCAGTACATTATCCTGTAGGTGTTATGACCTTCAGGGGGAGAGTCTAATAGATTGTCCTCGGATTTAAGAATTCTTTTTTTTTTTTCACAACTCCACCATTACAACGTCACTTGATCACCATGTTGAGTCACCATCTCCATCCTCCTTTAATCCAGTCAGACATGTTTTTTCTGTTTTACAGGGATTCTCATCATACTCTCAGTGTTGACATCACCAGCCAAACCTTTACTGACGTCAGCTTCCGCTTCACATCTCGCAAAGAAGGTCTCACTGCATCCATATCTTCTCCATCATCTGGTTTCCTGGCACTACACCTGCAGCAAAGGCCTTCAACACAGCTCAGTGCAAAACTGTTCTGTCGCTACCTGGTTAGCTCTTTAATTTATTGTCAACATGATTTGCAGCTATAAATAGATGGGTTTTTGTAGTTTCATTCTCAACATAACAATGTGTTTACCGTAGTCCTCTGTCCTTTTTACTCACCTTTAGGCTAAGGAGATGGATATTTTAATTACCAAAGCTACGCTGAAGAATTCACGCAACTTAATTGTTCAAATGTCCTGGAATTGGGACTTCCTCCATGATGCCATAGAGGGGACCAAAGACAGAGTTCCTGCCATGAATGATGCTGTATTCAAGGTCGTCAACAAATACCACACTACCCACTTTGGCTTTTCCCTCAATCGAGGCAGCTTAAAGTTGAAAAACGCACTGTCAAATGTCATAGACAAAGCTTACAGTGAGGTTCTGGTGATTCTCAACTCACTGCAGGATTCAGTCCAACAGCTGGGAGATGAAGGGACAGATATGTACAGAGAGGCTTCTCAGTGCCTGAAGTCTTTTAGTGTGCAGAGGTTTATAGACAAACTTATATTCAAGGTCAGAAAAGTCTTGAGGGACAGTGAAGACAAGATTGGAATTGCTTTGGATTTTGGCAGTGATTTCTTAAAGGAAGCACTATTTACAACTCCTGAAGAGAGAATACCACTACTGGATGAAGCGTGGTCTGAAACAGAAGCCATCGACAGGGCAATCCAAATGTTTGTCAACCTCTTGAAGAGGATTTCTAAATTCATCAGAGAAATTCAGTTTACTATACCTGGAACTGAAGTTACTGTTGATGGAAACAAGATCCTAAAGAAGCTGGAGAGTTCCACAGAAGATGTCTCTGTCTGGCTGAGCCTATCACTGCGCAGGACATTTCATTTCATAAATGTACATGTGGTCACCAACCTCATACAGGTGTTTGCTGAAGGAGCAGAGAAGATCATCACGTACGTGAAAAACAATGACATGTGTTCTCGTGTCGTCCAGGTCTATGCAGATTTACTGCAGTCATCAAAACAGTCCATTGAAGGAGCAAAGACAGATATAGTGGAGTACAAAGACCTGACTAAGCTAAATCTACAAAAGGCTTATAATGCAATAACAACTGAAAGTGTGAACAACAGCACCATAGAGGTGATTGATATTCTGCAGTCACATCTTTACGGAGGATTGAATGAATTTGTAGATGTAATGAGACAGGCATCTGAGAAGACAGCACCATACATTAGAGTGAGCACAAAAAAGGTCGACATGGAAATCCCTCTACCGTTCAGATGGAAGTCCTTCAGCCAGTGGCCAACACAGTAACTCTGGCATCTCTCATGAATGTAATGAAAATGTGAAATGACATTGATAATTAAAGGGCTGCTGTAATTCAGACGTGTTAATCACGTACTTTGATCATTTAGTGTTGTATGTGTGAATAAACAGTTATGAATTTTTGTATTTATGATTTACTCTCTCAATCAAAAAACCTTATGTAATTATCTTATATACCAAGTAATGTGGAACAAAAATAATAATCCTTCAATACAACATGATGGATCATTTGAAAAAGAGGATTAAAACAAGAATATATCAAAAATAACTAACTGACCAAACAAATGTAATTTTCTTTTCTTTTTTCCCTATAATTGTCTTAGTTTTCTTTGTCTTTTATTTATTTATTATTATATTTTCATACTATTCCATAACTATAGAGGGCAGTGATGCACTTAAATGCCGCATACAACCCACCAAGCCAGCAGCTGACCAATCAGCGTGCAGCACTATGTAAAACAGGAAGTCCTCATGACAACGCAGCACACTAAAGAGCCTGGGAGAATGTCATCAATGAGATCTTAAACCTAGAATTCCTTCTGCTGATTCCTGAAGGTACATTTTTAACACTCGTTAAATTTGCTCTTTAAATGATAAGAAAAGAACACAGTGTGACCGAAGGCGGAATATTGTTTTTAAATGAATGTGGTGCTGCTATTTTGAACATAAACTATTTTAACAAGCGGTATTTTTTTAATGGTGGCCCTTTAACAGTCGTGTTCTTCGTGACTTCTTGTAATTATAACAAATATTTAATTTATCTCCACTACCTGCATAGATAGTTTTTGACAGGCAGCAGACCTTACCTTTGGACCCTGCGGTGTTTACAGCTGCTGAGATGGAGGTCACCGGGAGTAAAGATGAACCTCGGACGGAGTTTATCTACTGCTATGGCGCGAACACCGAGCTCCTCAAGTTTGGATCCTGCCGGTTACAACCCGGACACAAAAACCTCATTCTAATCATCCCAGGTGTGTTTTACATTAACCTGCCTTTTGTAAAAAAAACCCAAAACAATAACGATTGATCTTTTGCTGTACCCAATGGACCGAGAGAAGCAAGCACAGCTTTCATCTTATTAAGTGAACATACGTTATGACATAACGTTGTCATATGTTAGATTAGATTAAATTCAACTTTATTGTCAATGCACATGTCACAGATACAGAGCAACAAAATGTGGATTACATAACTAGAAGTGAAAAAGCAGTAGATTTACATTTGAAATATGTCCAGAGCAACAAAATGTGGATTACATAACCAGAAGTGAAAAAGCAGGAGATTTACATTTGAAATATCTGAATGAGTTAGTGCTAATAATACTGCATGTACAGTTATACACAATAGAAAAAATAATACTGCATGTACAGTTATACACAATAAAAAGTGTTTACTATTATACTATTTTGTTTTATTAGATTTTTTATATATTCCTTTGACTGAGCATCTCTTACATCTATGTGTTCTTTCAAGTATAAATTATAATTTGTGCAGGTAATCCTGGTGTGGTGGGCTTCTACAGGACCTTCATGCAAACACTTTATCGCACATTTGACTGTAGACACCCAGTGTGGGCCATAAGCCATGCAGGCCACTGTATACCCCCAGACTCCATGGACATGATTGAAGGTATGGATTGTTGTCTGTCTGTGCTCTGTTCAAAACAGTCGTCACAAACTCATTAAGAATATTGTTCTAATTCTATTTTAGTTTTATATTACAAATTAGTCTTTGTACAGTAATTACACTTTATATTACAAAGTCTCCAGACTTCAGAATTCTTGGTCATAAATATTGACACAGCCTCCGACCTGTGACTGTTGATTCGTCTCCTTTTGTCCTTCCTTCGTGCAGATGGCTCCTCAGCAGTAGAGCGTGATGTGTTTGGTCTCGTTGGACAGATTGAGCACAAACTAGCCTTCCTCAAGAAACATGTTCCCAGAGAAACCAACCTCATCCTGATTGGCCACTCCATCGGCTGCTACATTATTCTGGAGATGATGAAGAAAGACCCAGAGCTCAAGGTTAGTCACAAACCTTGTGTCTATACACGACAGTGCTGTGACCCACACCATGTCACCATTATAAACAAACCCCCCCTAAATAATGAAGGTCTGGAAAACTGGAGTTGTGTGAGTTTTCTAGAAGACGCTTTACCTTTCAATTATAGTAAGAACAGTCTTTAGTTTTGACTGCTATTAATTATAAATGCTAAATTATTATTATTTAAAAGCAACCCAAATAACTCCACTTTTTTTAGACCTACATTCCTGAGAATGATCTGAAAACGTTTTGGTCCACAGGCCAATGAGGTTTAAAATTTGACGGTTCATTATTGGTTTGATGTAGAATGTTTTGGGTAACAAAATATAAATAACATGTACAGTATTGATCCAAAACCCTGAAAGAAAATTTGGCATATTTGATGTCTGCCGCCATCTAGTGGCATTAACTGAAATTACAATCAATATGGATTGGATTACAAAGTCCAGCGCACCATATGTGGTCCATGAACCGTAGTTTGCCTACATCTGAGTTAACCTCACTAAAAAATGCTGTTTTTCAAGTATGATTTTAATGCCAAATGTTCTTTTAAGGACAGTGCAGATGTTTCTTGGTTTCATGTTGGCAGTTGTTGCAAATTGTTCTACTTTTATTTTCCATTTTATGACTTAATTATGACAGCACATTTTGAGTTCTGCCTGGAACAGGATGCAGCCTTACTTTGGTGAAATACTAAGTTAAATGACTTGAAATCTCTGTTCACGATCACAATTGTTCCATCTCCCACACTTTGTACCATGTGACCAGAAAATTCTATGGTTCATTTGGCTGACAAGTGACTTGTCATTTGATTTTGATACAGGTTCTCAGAGCTGTCATGCTGTTTCCTACCATCGAGCGCATGGCTCAGACTCCTCAGGGGAAGGTCATGACACCGGTGCTGTGTCAGCTGCGGTATCTGGGCTACCTGCCACTCTTCCTGCTCTCTCTGCTACCTGACAGCTTAAAATACAGCCTGATTAAACTGGTGCTCAGTGGCATCCACTCCTTGGACCTGAGCGTGATCCGACCCACTGTCAGTCTGCTCAATGGAGACTGTGCAGGTTGGTATAACTGTTGTTGTTGTTTCTGTGTCCAAAAAAACCCAGCATTGTTATCGACCCACAGTACTGTGTTCAGAAGTGAATGAATGAAGTTCTATACTAACTGGTCTTGAAAAAAGCAAAAACAAGAGGATGTCATCCAAATCTCTTTTTAAAACAGTAAAATCAGTGTTTTCTTTTTCTTTCAAGCCAATGCTATGTATATGGGTGGCCAGGAAATGAAGGCAGTTCTGGACAGAGACAACAGAACCATCAAGGAAAATCTTGACAAGGTGAGAGGACGCACATGTTGTTTTGTACAGTGATTATTTCCCTATTTATAGAATGACTCAGAATTTTGATGTTTAACTCAAAACAGTGATTGGACCAGGAGCACCTCAGATAAAGTTGAATATGTTTTATATATAAAGAAAGAGCCTCATGTTGAGGTAGACGTTCATATGGAGCTGCCCCATCATGGTCAGCTCATAGAAATGCAAAAAGTTCAAAATTTCAAGTTCAAATGTTGTTTTAATAATTTACCACTGACTGAAAAGTCTGTTCAGATTTTAGTTTTTTTTAGTGGAAAAATTCTACTGTAGGTTTTCAACCTAGGATTTCATTAATTACAACGACAATGGCCTAATAAACCAGGTCATTACATCTGAATTGTCCAGAACCACTTGTCCACCCGGGGGACGGGAGAAAACATATGTAACTCCAAGCGTTGAATCTGACCCATGACTCGATTCCAAAATAAACAAAAAATAATGTTTGACAGACATTTGATTTATTTTGAGTGTCCGGCCCCAAGGTGTCTGTCCAGAAAAATGTTGGCCCTCCAGCAGATAGTTTGTAACCCCTACAATAATCATCATATATTGTGTTATGTCTTGTACTAATAAGAGAGAGTACAGGCATACAGTACTTATAGAACTACTGTAGAGTTTCCATCAGTTAGCCTATTTAAAGATGTCCTTCATAGCCAGCTTCCTAGACACTGATGCTGCTGCTGATCAGCATTACTGTGTCAGTAGCTCTGGACACAGTGCTTGTTTTAAAATGCGTTTTGTCTTTCCAGATAATATTTTACTATGGAGCTAAAGACCACTGGTGTCCTGTGCAGTATTACCTGGACATGAAACAGGACTTCCCTCATGGAGACATCAGACTGTGTGAGAGGGAATTCCGTCACGCTTTTGTCCTGGATGCAGGAAGTGAGGTTTCCAAGATGGTGGCTGAATGGATCCATGGAGATTTAAGGACATGATCCCTGGACAGGTCGGCGACCACAGTTCTGACTTGACATTAAACTCTTCAATAAGAAGTGAAATGTCGAAAAAACCTGAGGAGGTCCAGTTTCCTACGTCTGAACTTCTTGGGATTTCCAAAAACGATTTAGTAAATAATACAACTACAGATAGTTTACTTACTGTAACTGATCAAATGACCTGGATGACTGAGAACCTGACTGCTAATCTGAAGAAGATGGAGATGTTTTAATCTATGGCTCTACCTTTACAGCCATGTTCAAGAGAATCTAGCATAGGGGTCTCAAACTCCTGGTCTGGGGGCAACTTTCAGTCCGCAAACATCTACATCTGACCTGTAGCTGAGTGTCAGTAATAATTTTGCCCTTGATGTAGTTTTTATTTATATATATTTTTTCAATGATCAAAAATACTATTAATATATATTTTTACAAGCTGTTTATGCTGTAGTAATATACAGTGTAAATATATACAGTGTTTCTAAAATGTCTTGGTTTTATTGAATTTGCACTGATGTGACCCTCCAAGGAATTGCCCATGGCAGCAGTGGCCCCCAGTTCATTTGAGTTTCAGACCCCTGCTTCAGAGGGACCATTCAGTTTTAGGGACCAGTGTGAATGAGGATGTGGATAAAATACTTCAACTTCAACACTGACGACAACTGACATTTTAATTTAGATGATTGTTTAGCAAATACAATATAAAATATGTTGTAATTGGTTTAAGTCCCTTCCCAACATCCAATGTTGAACAGCACTTCCTTTTACATGTCACTGTTACTTCTATTTAATAATGAGTGTCATTAATTTACAACAAGCATCTGTTTGTGTTCACCTTCACACTTCAACTTCCAACCATTTGTCTGCATCAGTGATTCCCAACCTCTGTCCAGCGTACCATGGAAAATGATCCAATTTCACTTGATTGGTCTGAAAACAATTATTAATTTACTGCAGGTGATTTGTCTTCATTTGTCTGTACTATAGTGACAGGCAGATCAATTATTCTTCCACTAGAGGGCAGCAGTAAAAAAATGTCATTGATTGTTGAGGTTGTGTGTCTTTCTTCAATTCCTGAATGTATATCAGTGCTGTATCCGACTAAACAGGCCCAGGTTCAAGTGTAATATTTATACACTTAATATATACAATTGAAGGACATTTTTGTTTGGTGATGTGCCATAGGATTTTATCTAATGTGAAATATGTGTCGTAGGGAAACACTGCTGTATAGTAAAACAGATAAAGCAGAAGTCATGTGAACTCTGGTATGTGTAGTGCTGTGGTTTGATTCACGTCTGTTCACTGTCAGAGTGTGTGCTGCCACTCCTCTTTCTCTTCATGTCCTCTCTGTCCGGTGTGTCATGGTACGAGTCCGTCTCCTCTACATTAGTTCTTTTAGAAAGGGATGGTGAATCTGGGAAGCACTGTCCAGGACCCAGCACCTGCCTGACGGTCACATTCACTCTCGAGCTCTGGATGTACCTGGAGCACACGGTCCAGTCCGGCTCAGACACCTGCTCCACCACCGTGTTGTTGTGCAGGGATGGACTCAGGCTGCAGCCTTCCTTGTCTAGCATGGATTGGCCCCCTGGTGGTGGCACAATGCGTGGCACTGCGTGGTAAAGCAGACGACTGTGTCCTGACATGACCATCACATCTCCACTGTGCATGTACATGGCAACAGGTGGGTCCTGTCTCTGTGTACCACCGAGCAGGAAAATTGCTGACTGGCCAAAACTGTTAGGAAAACAAAGAACAGTAAAACCTTGACCTTTCTATTGAAGTGATACTGAGTACAGTACAGGGGGTCCTCGGTTTATGGAGTCCTCAAACCTACAGTGTTCTGAAGTTACGTCTCTGTAAATTTATTGAGAAGGTGTTGTTAAATCATTCCGATGTACGGTGTTTAAAATCGCCATCTAGTTTGCCTGGGAACGAGTTGGCAAGCAGAGTGGACGAGTACGTTGTCACATGGCACTATACTTGGTGTAAATCAGACTTCTGATGTTTTTATGTCCTAGATTATAATGTCACCACTGTGTTAGAGTAGGTGAGTGACATACAGTAGCTACTGATGTACAGTATGTGAGTTCTGGCGAAAATCGGGTTTTCGTTGCCGAGTGGGAATAGAACTCTGAGGAAGTCGAGGACCCTGTAACACAGTGCTGGTGACTCTCACCTTAATGACAGCAGAGGTCTGCTGTGGTCCAGTTCAGATTCATCCACATGGATCCCCAGAGAGGAATCAGACCTGTAGTAGTTAAGAATTCCAGCCTCTGCCTGGAATCCTGGAAAACCACAGGCAGCACTTATTTTCAAGGACAACAGGTGGAGGTCAGCTGGGAAGGCAGTGTGGTGGTTGGCAGAATAAGTCTGTGGGAGGGGGCATCACAGAAACCATTACTGTGAAAATCTGTAGGTGGAGATCTGACGGGATTTCAGATAAAAGTGTAGCACACAGATTGACAGGCTGGTGTGTGTGTGTGTGTGTGTGTGTGTGTGTGTGTGTGTGCGGCACCTTGGTTTCCCAGTTGTAGTGATATCCCAGAGTGACCCAGCGCAGCTTCTCCAGCAGAGTCTTTGGTTCTTTCCTTCCAGACGGAGGATGACTGTGAGGTGAAACACACAGAAATAACAAAACTGCCTTTTCTTTAAACCGTGATATTTGATTAATTTGACATTGTCACTGTGTAGTATTTCACTTTTACGCACACTTTTATTTTTATGGTCTTATTTACAGTGCACAAGTTTTGTAGTGTGGCCAGTTTCAAAGTCAATACTTCATATTTAAAAAAAAACAACAACCAAGGATTGGTTTAAGTCAGTATTGATCAGAAATACAGGACGGTAGTTAACCGTTAGTCTCAGTGGGTAAAGTCACTCTCACCTGAGACTTTGTAAACTCTTGCCCCAGATGTCCTGTGTGTCCGAGGGCGACATGTGCATGTCCAGGTTGCAGATGTTAGGTTTCTGAGGGTAGGTCTTCAGACACTGTCTGACCCAGAAGGACTGAGAGCCACTCAGGAATGGATTGGAGATGACCAGGAACCCTGAACAACAAATACATGTCGTCAACTAAAGACGGAAACAGGAAATCGTACAAGTACTAATATATTTTCTTGGCTTGTTTACAATTTTTTTTTTCCATGGGTGAAACCAAACTGATTGCGCCACATAGATGTTTTTAAAAGCCTTTTACTACATTTGTAGTTTGTATTCACCACAACACTGTTCTTAACAGTGGTGAATATGTTGTCGTCTTTCTCTCTCTCCATTATGTTTACCTGGGTAACCCTGCAGACCGAAGGCTCTCCAGTCTCTGACAGGCTGTAAACCAACCCTGGCGGCCTCTTCATCAGTCACATTGGCTAAGTTCAGTTTCACTGGAACTACCTGGTAGTAACACAGACACAGATACAGCTAAAGGAATCATGAGGTCTACATAGCAACTTCACCGCCACCAATTCATTCCAGGTTATGTGTGACAGTAGTCAGACTGAAACCAATGATGGATGTTATTTAGGGCTATTGATTCTTGGGGGAGTCTAACTTCACCTGTGTATCGCCAATAATTACTCAGTATAGTCGATGCTTGATATGTATACTTCTTCTGTAAATTGACTTTTTGATCCCCTGGGTGAAACTGCTTAGTTTCCCAGGTGAATACCTGACCAGACTCTTTAGGATAATCGGGTCATACAGCCCCTGACCCTATAAAAGATTTACATTTTACCAGAAAAAAAGCATGAATGTGGGGTTGTTTGAACCACAGGAGGGACTCGTCTCACTGTGTCTGTGTTGTTTCAGCCGTGAGGGTCGAGCCCTGGATGGTATCGGTTCGTGTGTACATAACTGATTGATTACTGATTAAACATATATCAGCTTGACATGTGTTTAAAGAATAAAACGCAATACTGACACTTATGTCACGTGACATTTGTCAATGCATGTATTTCTTCTCTTCCTTGTCGTCTTCCTCTCACCCTTTCATTGTGCGCGCCTCTGGAGAAGTCAATGATAGCGCTGAAATCTGGCGGAGGGTCTCTTCTCTTGTAATATTTAAATATTTTACGAAAAGCATCTTCTCCACTCTCCACTATGGAAGCCGCCATTTTCGGCGATGCCATCTTTTCTTTGGTTGTATATGTGCTGCTTACACGCATTAATGTTTAAGGGCTGCCCTCTACTGGTTAAAATTAAATACGCACAGGTTTCCACTCGTTATCGATAACTGTCAATTTTAACCACAGGATGGCAGCATTACGCCTGTTGAGGTTCAATCTGCCTACTTTGGGGACGAAGAAGTCACGGATACAACTTTGACTTATGACGTAGAGGTACGTCACAAGTCAAAGTTGAATCCAAGGACGAAATATGGCGGCGTCGGCTAGAAAAGTTACTGCGATGTTTGTGTCTAAAATACCATGGACCGTGTCAAGTAGTGAGTTTATTCAAATATTCACGTGTATTTCAGGATCAGCACCAATACAGGAACACGTCGTTATAGTTTGATGACTTGTAAATGGGGTTTTGCATCCAAGGTTCGATATATGGGGCTGCGCATGTGAGGAGAGGTGTGCTGTCAGAGTAAGACACATTATGCAGATATTTCAGCCACAGAAACAAAAAATTGCTGTAGTTAACCTAAAAGAGTATTTACATTCTAATTATTGTTTATTGTTTTAAGTCTTGAGTCTTTGGCATAACGCGTTCTGTTATTAAACTGCTTTACGATACAATCTTTGGGGTTAGACGAAATGAATATTTGAGGATTTAAAACGATTTAAGTTCAATAAAGGCATCTACTATTCTCGGGTGAAACTTTGAATGGGTTAAAACGGTGTACTAAGTGTAAAGTCACCCTTCGGTGTGCTCCTTGATTTTGAAATCACACTTCGAAATGGAAAGAAAAACACAGTTAAGCGTCATTTATTTACAATATTAAAAACTCAACTGTAGGATGATCGGTGATTATTGCGTATTATTTGTCAAAATATTTTCCTATAAAATAAAAACGAACTAAAGATTGCAAAATAGCTTTAAGTAATGCTGCACACGCGACTAAAACATACGAGTGAATGTTTCATAAATAAATATCTAATAAATAGCAGAATGTTAACGATAGAATAAAGTTTCCAGGTTTTTAAAAAAAATAATCGTTCTATTTTAAAGGGACGCATGTTCTTTTTCAACGAGGTTGAGGATAGGTGTCCAAAACAAACCTGCAGCTTGGCTAAACTGAGCTGAGCTACGTGCTATATGAAGCAGCTTGACATATTTGTTCAGGTGGTTACCAGGGGTTGGAAACAACGAGTTTAGATTTAGTTTAGTTGTTTGAAATTAACGGGTAATTTAGAAAAAAAAGGATAAAACGGAATTAATCTGTGCTTAACAGTGGTTATTTGTTTTTTGTGTTAAGTTATAAAACAAACAGCAGCTAAATCTACTTATATACATTTAACACACGGATGTCATTAGGGCAATTGGTGAAGAAATGTTGTTGGATAAAACTTAACGTAAAATATTTTTATTTTGCAGAGGAATTAAGGGAACATTTCGGGAAGTTTGGTAAAGTAAGGATGTGTCGACTCCCATTTGTAAGTAGTCTCCATCTTCTCCACTGATCCTAATCTAGCAGGTTTTTACAGCCTGTAAAAAAGAGTTGCACTTGTGTCTGAGTGTTTTTTGTGTGCGATATCAGGATAAAGAAACAGGCTTCCACAAAGGCTTCTGCTGGATTCAGTTCAACAAAGAGGAAGAACTGGTCAAAACCCTCCAGGAGAAACATATGCTGGAAGGAAGAAAGGTGCATATTATGTCCCCATTAGCATGACTACCACGAGAAAACCTTCATCATTTCAATGTCTGTGCTTTATATGTTTATTTCTATGTTTTTTTTTAACGTGTTGCCCCTTTGTTAAACCTTTAAATATTCTATTACAATAAGTGAAATATTGGCCTGTGTTCAGTTGCAACCTTTACCAACTGTTCATAGATTCTATGCGTCATCACATACTGATTGATTTCTTCTTTTCCTTTTTGTTCTCAGATCAACGTTCAGAGGAACATAGGCAACTCGTTTGAAACAGAGAAAGGCAACTATCATGACTAAAGCTTCTGCCATCTCTGTCCAGCATGTTGCTCTTATTATTTTTTGTATGTTTTCCAGAGTATGTTTCCTTTTTCCTACAACATTGGTGACTTTGGATGCTTTACCTCTTGCTGTTTATTGTTTTTTCCGGGTATAATTATTTATTGTTACAGAGCTGAGCATTCTGAACCTTACTCTAATACACCATCAGTGTCAACTTCATCATAAGTTGCCACATTATTCTTCTCATTTCCAATGAATGGCAATAAAGCGTTTAAATGTCCTTACATGTTGTGTTGTGTTGTTTATATTATGTAACTGTTGCATGTACAAAAGAATTAAATGTTTTAGCAACATTTTAGGACCTTAAGCAGAAACTAAGTTCAAATTACCTGATAATATATGAAAAAGATTTGCAGAATTAAAAACAAGTGTAAAAATGATGATATGCATTTAATGTTTTGTGTTGGTGTGCTGTGTCACAGTGACAAGGAGTTCACTTTCCTTATGGCAAATAGACAATACAAGTTTGGAACATTAGCAGATGATAATGATCTGTAATAATTCACAAAACTTCATAGTTTTTTAATGACAGTTAAAATACAAAAGCAAAAAGGTAATAACATTTCCCTTTGTGGGACAAATAAGGGGCTAAATTATTATTATTGTTATTATTATAAATTACATTTAAATTGATTTTTCCATAGACCTATTCAAATAAATGTACAGTCAAATACCTTTAGTACGATGTTCATTTTTCAATGACAAATATTCATATACAAACATAAATTTGGGTTTCATAAATACCTCTTTCACGTGCCTCTGGTAACAGCGGATCACGGTGTGACGCGTTAAAGTGACGTCATGACAGCGACCCCTTGTTTGTAGTTTTAGCGTGTTTAACGTCGACTCATACAAGATTATTAGTTGGGTGTGTTTTCACCCAGACCCCCTGCTGTGGACAGTATAAAAGTTATCTCTTTGCATGTGGGGGGTTATTTAGCGAAGAGGCTAAAGGCTAGGTGGCTAAAGACTAGGTGGCTGCATTGGTTTTCATTCATTTGAACTCCATTACCCACGATTCTCCCACACAGTCGGGGTCAAAACAAAACCGGCAAGCAAAAGACAGCAGTGTGGAGAACCTGGTGAGTTTATGTAACCAACCTTACATGTCAACGCGTCGGCGTGGAAGCAGGTAAAACTTGTTTCCGTCATTTTCGTGTTAAAACATATTGTTACTGTGGTTAATAACACGCGTGATAAGTAGTCTGTGACGCTGCCGCCAGATAAAACACATTCACGTGTTTACAAATGTCACACCGATGCAGCACAATCAAATCTTTACCATGTTTGACAGAAAAAAACTCGTTCAGGTTTGTAACACACAGCTCTGCTGTTCGTAGTACGTGTTCCGAAAAGATGACACATAAAGGCTACATGTGAAACCTGTCCTTTCTCGTCAAATGTAGCCCACGTAAGTGACAGCTAATATGAATGTAAATGCTAACCGGTGAACCTATGGGACACTTGGACAGACAACAGTGGGATTCCAACGACTGTCTTTACTTATGAACCCGAGGCAGCCATTGTCATGGTGTTAAGAAGTACCACTAGTAGATAATAGCAACTTATTTTGTTGAAAGCGATGCCAAATCACGTGTTTTTTCCTGCCCCCCACAGTGCCTTCGATGGCTGGTCCTCTCCTCAGGGTCTCCACCCTTGCTACAGGAGTGTTGGCCTCATCTGGACTTTATCTGTACAGCCGAAAACTTGACTTCAATGACCTAAGTCTCGTCCGCTTCAGCAGAGCTGCAGCTATCGTGAGTTAACCAGGGGTTTAGACCAGGGCTGGCAAACTCAAACTCACAGTGGGCCAAAATTAAAAACTGGGACGAGGTCACGGACTGAACTTAATATTTATTGAAAAATGTATGGCAATTGTGCATGTTTTTCCTTTTCTCCATATATGTAATGTTAAATAAATCAACCGAAGCTAAATATTACAAACACATGAGAAATCAAATTTGGAATAAAACACACATAAGTGGTATTTGTTTCTTATTATGTCTCTTTATCTGTGGTCTTTTGAGGTTCCTTTAAAGGTAAATCTTTTTTTCACAGGCCAACAACAAAAAAACTAAACAACATAGTGCATATAATATAGTGCATACATACTACAAATCCTGCCATCATATATGGGCAATATACTGACGGGCCAACTGTTTGCCACATTTAATATGATCTCGTGGGCCATATATAATTACACTGTGGGCCAGATTTGGACCCCTGGCCTGAGTTTGACACATGTGGTTGTGAAGTTGTAAACTGTGGATTCAAAGTATCTACTAATTGTCTTAGAGATATGTACAATACGCAAACACCCATCTCGATATCGGATATTGAACATCTGAAATTGACTAAGCCAGAGGCGGGCAAACTCTGCAGCTCATGGACAAAAATGAGGTTCAAAAATTGTCCGGCGTGCAGGGTCAGTATTGGTTGGATGTAGAATGCTGAATGAAATTATTTAAATAAAATGTACAAGATAATAATTTAAATAAATTCAATTTCAATAATTTAGCACATTTGATGTCTGCCGCCATCTAGTGGCATCAACATAAATTACAGCCGATATGTTGTAATGGGTCTTTACTATACGTTGTATCAACATTCTCGGTTCAAATCCATATCTTCTCAATAACATTTTATTTTAATGTTAACCTTGAGTTCTCCACGTGTTGTTTTTGCAGACAGCAGCTATCAGCTATGACTATTTCACTGCCTTCAAACATGTGGAATACGGTACAGAGGAGTACTGGGATCTCAAGTCCAAGGTAGATGAGCATGATTTTATTACTGTTATGTTTCTAAGTACTTAAAATTGAAAATGTACATGTTATATTTATTTTTGGAAAAAATAGATATGGAAACTGTTACCCTTCTTCAAAAGTGTTTAAATAATTAACATTTGTATATTGATTACTAATCAGAAGACAAGGATGATACAAGTAAATGCCAGCTGATACACCGTTTTTAAACAAGGTGTTTGTTTAAAGGCCACAGTTGAGTCAGCTTCACTCGAGAGAGCAGTGATGTAAAGGTCAGAAACCACCAGCTTCTGCTGGAGCCAGGCTTGAGGAGCACTGTTCACACACACACACACACTCCCAAACACTGTGTGCCCTCTCGAGCTCTGTTGGTCAAGCCTGGCTTCACACACTGATTAGAATTAATCTGTGGTGCATTTAAAACAGAGAGGAGTTTTGCCTCGTGATTATAATGAAGCCACAGAGCTGAAGTGATAGTAACTCCACACTGGCCTCACGTCTCTATGCTTGGACGAAATGGAATAAACAAAAAGATCTGTGTGACCAGAATATGAATAACCACACAAACAAACTGGTCCTATAGTCAATGCAGTATGAAAAATAAATCAATTCGGTCGCAGACAGATGGAAAGTATAGAGAGAAAAGTAAAACAAAAGGCCCCGCCTTGCAGCTTTGGTACTTAACCAGTCGAATAAAGCTATGACAGATCAACATAAGGCCCGTCCTTCATCAGGGGTCACCACACTGGTTGTCCACATGGTGAATCAGTTTGGGACGAAGAGTGAATTATAATGAAGAATGTACTGTGGCAGCAAGACATCACTAGGCCTCGCACCATTTCTAAATAAGAATGACTGAATGAATGAAAGTGAAAGTGAACTCCTGTCACTGTGACACAGCTCTTCACTGCCCACAACCAACTGTGACCTCTGTTTTTAACCCATCACCACAGTGAACAGTGGGCAGCTTTAAGAGCACATGCTCAGAGCACCTCAGTGGGAACTTGGCAGCTGGTGGACTCAAACCTGAAACATTCCGGACCTAAGTCTGCTTCCTTTAACCACTAAGCCACCATTATGTCGTGTAGTAATTAGTGATGGCTGGATCTGATACTCAGGATCAGTATCGAACATCAAAGGATACCACTATAACCCGTCCGATCCGATACCTAGCCCAAATGCCCAGTGGGTCAGAAGGACCTGTAACGTGGGTGTTCTTCAATGCCCCAGCTGTGTGTTTGTTTCTTGTGAGCCACAGTTGCCTTCACAGTTAATGTGCTCTTGTTCCTACATCTCTTATTCCTGGTTGTTAGAGTGTGTCACCGTATGCATGTCTGGCAGCAGCACAACCGAGCTTCTTTCAAAGCCTGTAATGAAGAGCTTTTTTCAGAGCCCACTCAGGCAGCCACTCTCCCAGGCTCATCAAAGGCTGCCTTGAATGATCTGAGGGGCCATTTAGAGCCAATTAGAGTGTATCACAGAATAAGCACAGGAGAACTCTGAACTCTGCAGAATAGGGAGAGAAACACTGTCTGCAATCAAAGGATGGATACACTTCTTCTTCTTTTAGTCTCATTCCAGCCTAAGGAATGCATCTGGTCCACTTGTGTGAAGTGCTACAGTAAACAACACACTCGCCTGTTGCACCACTTCCAGCAAATCCCAATTATGGAACAAACATTTCTGTGTAATTTTAAAAGCATATGTCCTCTAGGAATTTGACATTTGATGTTTTTACTTCTTCATTATCCATGGTTTAATGTACATTTTGGTTGGTCGTCTCCATGCCTTCTAAAGTCAGTTTAAGAATGGGTTTTTAGAACATGAGACGTCAAGAGGAATTGACGTCTAAAATGACGTCAAGATGAATGGATTCATAATTAATATCAGCTCACAGGAACTAAGCACTGCTGCGGCATCTTGTGGTTAACGGTACTGCACTAGTATCTGTACTGGGCCTGATACTTGTACTTTACGTAATACTTGAAAACATGCCGAGTGAGCGACCAAATACTCTTTTCACTACAAGCAGCTGATCTCAGGTCAGCCTCTGTTGTGTGTCTTTTCTACTGCAGTTCAGTGTCATTGACCTCAGGAGTCGTTTATTTAAGGTCAGCAATGTCAGCAGTTTAAGGTACTTTTAAAACTAAGATTTATTTTTCTTTTGAAAGACACGACCAAGTCCCACTGTAACCTACACACTGTACTCCTACCCTCCTATGTACTGTAGGTGACGCTGCCCTGTAGCCCGTTGGTAATTTATTGATACCCAGGTATTTTGCAGCTTCTGTTCCCTATAGAAATGGATGCTGCGTTCTCGCGGAATATTTGATTTTATTCAGTATTTGAGATTTCCATCTTCTACAAATGGCAACCAATATATTGCATAGCACAGATTCATTATCTTTTTATAATCCCAACTACTTGTATTCCAAGTATTACTTACCGTTACTTCACCTCACAGTTCTACCGTCTCATTCCTCTGCATTCCTTGCCTTTCGTCTTCCTAGACACTCTGTTCACATCTGTACAGATGAGACTGATAAGACGACAAAAGGACGAGAGAAATAAAAAACACAATAAGAGAAAGTGAGAGAGATGTTTTTCTCTGTCTAAAGTCTAGACGTTTGTTTGTTTTTTTTCTTAATGTGAGTTTTGATGAATGATGTTCTGTTTGACGTTTTGATTGCTGTTCTCTAAACTCAATTAAGGTTAAAAAAAAAAAGTGATTTTTCTCTAAACTCAATTAAGGTTAAAAAAAAGTGATTTTCTTTTCTACAAAAGTAACAGTACACCACCTTTGAAATATTTACTCCAACCATGATCAACAACTCCCAACATTCTGACCAGAGTAGAATAAACATTCACTGTAGTCTTTGAGTGCAGGGCAGATTGAAAGCAAAAGAAAAATGTTTGTGTTTATAAAATGTTTTGTAGGCCGGTGTGTGTCATGGGTTTGGAAAGGCTTTTACTTTGAGGGGGGTCAAACTCAGTTTCACCAGGGGCCACATCAGCAATACAGTTCCCATTGAAGGGCCGGTTGTAAATGGAAGACCACGGACCAGTACCAGTCCGTAGGTCATTTGGTACTGGGATGCAGTGGGTTGAAAAAAATTTACTTATTTTTGACTAATTTACTTTATTCTAAATCCAGTAATTTACTTTCTTTATTTAAAGATAATCTGGCAATAATAGGTCATTCAGATACAAACAGAATAGAGTCTAAAAGATGTTTTATTTTTAAAATGTATTAATCCTTTAATACTCAGCACCTGTACTGGTCTGTAGTAACGGGTGGTACTGGCTGAACAGTCCTGGGAACAAGGTTGGGGACCACTGGTATAGATGAACTACTCCATAACAGACTAATACATGTAATAAAACAACTTTTATTTACTTAGATTAAGAAACTCTGGTGCATGGAGCTCTCGCGGGACACACAAAACGGCTTGGTGGGCCGTATTAGGCCCCCGAGCCTTGAGTTTGACACGTGGCCTACGGTGTTGAGCTGAAGTGAAAGCATTGATTCTCTCAGCAGATACATTTACTACATTCTAATGTGCTTGTCTCTAGGGCTGGAACTAACAAGAACCTTTTTCTTGATTATTGATCTAGTTTCATATTTACTCCTTAATTGAGTTTGACACGTGGCCTACGGTGTTGAGCTGAAGTGAAAGCATTGATTCTCTCAGCAGATACATTTACTACATTCCAATGTGCTTGTCTCTAGGGCTAGAACTAACAAGAACCTTTTTCTTGATTATTGATCTAGTTTCATATTTACTCCTTAAAGTGCAGATATTATTAAAAAAAAAAAAATCGGTGTCTAACGCTGATATCATGAAATGTTTTGGTTTTGACGTATTACCTGCATTACTGCATTACCGTGCAGTAAAGACCCCGACCGAACAAAAAAAAAATTATAGTCATTAATTATTCTTTAATGAATAGTCCCTACAACCTCTTGACTTGTACCACAACTAATACTACAACCGCTTACAGTGACCGGTTGTTATGATGCCTATCAGGGTATCATCATGACGTCAACACATCTGACAGACTTCACCATAAACATTTTTAGAAATGTAATGTTTAAAATTCTTTACGGGATATTACAGCTTACCACCAGCAGATGGCAGTACCACATGCCTCCACTTGCACAGCAGCACAACAGTTTTCCAAAATAGATTTTAAATTCAGAGATTAGTATCCACCAACTCTTGCCAGGTCGTGTCTGCTCTGGTGACACGCAGTGAGAACAGCTGACATTAATGAGCTCATGTCTGCAGCCTACTGGCCAAACCAGTGTAATGTGAGACAATCCCATACAGATGTGAGCAGTGGAGGGCCTTCGACATTTGCTTCTCACCTGCTGATCCTTAGATCATTGGTTCAGGCTGATTACCAGCAGCCCAGGCCACAGATACTGGGTTCCTCAGTATCTGTGTGTTCTGTCGCTTTGTTACTGCAGGTGAAGGAAGGAAAGTGAGTACACACACTCACACACTCACACATACATATATATATTTGTATAATTCTGAAGC